GTTCTCACCACCACACTACCTTCTCAGACTGTTGGCCAATGTTCTTGACGAACACAAAACAAATGGAATGCGCTAGCTAACGTTCAAACTATTTCCCCTTGTTGAACACACCTTAGGTTTCTGTTTGTTCTAAATGGTTCCCATTCATATAGAGCAGACACCTACATGCCGGTAGTCTAGTCACAACTGGTTAATGTGAAGGAGGGCAATATGTCTGCATCCTAAATTGTACCCTATTCCCTATGCAGTGCACTACTTTTGACCATAGCCCTGTAGGTAGTGCACTATATAGGAAATAGGGTGCTATTTGGTCCACAGCCTCTGGCTCCCACATGACAAGTTATTTTACTTAAACACCAAAAGGCTTTAAATATAGACAAGACGTGGGTGTATGCCACTTCCCCTACCATGTCTTTAGTTCAGAGTGAATGTGGGGAAAGGCCTACTTCCCAAAGAACAGGGTCGTGACTCGTGTTCAGTAGGGCAGAACTGTTTAAAACGTTTGGAAACTGAAAATGAGCGTTTCTCAATGGACGTCCCTTCCGTGTTTCACACTTCCGTGATCCTACTGAACAGGATCCAGGCAGGTATCATCTGGCTGACCTGCGCCGTGTCTGTTGGAATGAGAGAAGTTCTCTTGTTTCGTGGATTGAGACAGTGGCGTTTTTTATATGACCACGTTTTGAACGTTTCGTGTCTATTTGAACATGTCTTTGGCTGTTAGAATGATACAGTGGGGTTTCTTCCAGCCAGTGAGTCTGACTCATACTTTCCACATGGGGCGGAGCCTTCAGAGCCCCCTGTCATACAGGAAGTGGTCAGACCACCCCCACTTGGAACCCCGCCAGGCGGTAGGAGGAATCCACAAACAATGATTATGCGCGTCCCAAATGTCACCCTGTCCCCTATATATAGTTCGCTACTTTTGACCCGCCGTGCACTATATAGGGAATAGGTTGCCATTTGGAATGCACACTGGGCTGGGACATGAGGGTTGATTTCAGACAACACCCATTTATGTAACCAATTCCTCCTCACAAATGGAGAAGGAATCTAGTGTTCGTAACCTAACCTTAGTTGAACATGGCATCTCCTCCTCTTTCGAGTTCTGGAAAAGACAACTCGTTTTTGAATTCCAAACAGGAATGAACATAAAACAATAATTCAAACTTTTTGAGCATTGCTGATTTTATTCAACGGTATGATTCAACATTCGTAGACCTGTAGTGTAAGATTCGCTTAGGTACATCTGGAAACTGGCAGCGTTGAGTGGAACGTTACCAGGTTGTTTGACATTTTATTTATTAATGAACACACCCTGTAAATGTGTGTAAACCAGTGGCATTAAGCCTTAATCATAGTCCACAGACACTGAGACGTGATCGTCCAGCATCCCGCTGTGCGGCTCTGAGCCCACCATCCGGGTTGGGAGGCACAGCCCGAAGGCGCACCTCCCCACAATTACGACGCATCCTCCTCATTCGAATGTTTGGACGGAGAAATCGCTTGAGATGCGCTGAGAATTCAAAAAAAAAAAAGTATAAAAGCCAACAGTCCAATATTCTAGAACACTGCTGCGCTTAACCCCATATATACGTTTTATGGCAGATACCCTCCGTGCTGAGCTGGACTGGGGCTTCACACTTCCCTTTTCTGACCATCAGGCTTTGTTTCTGCCCACACGTAACCTCTGTTTACACACAAACACACTGCTAACTCCTGGCCTGTCCCTCCAGTATGATGTCACAGCTCTCAGCGTCCACCTAAATACTGTCGTTTACGCCGGGGTATTAGAAACGTTATTTTTAAAACAGACACTAGGGCTGTTGAACAACGGGGTTCCCTAGGTTTTCATTCACCCCACCCATTTCAACAAATAGTTGTACCTGGCACCAGTACCAGTCAAATAAATGTTTGCATTTTAGTTTGTTTCCAATTATTAGTTTAGTTGTGAAACTCGCTAATAGCTTTTTTTTTTCTCCATATATATCCTTAATTCTACTAGTTAAAATACAGCTGGATTTGTGTCAAGGTTCTTACAAAACATAGTCATTTCTTTGCAATATTTCCAATTTAAGAAAGGAGGAAGAAAAAACTTGTATAACTCAAATCACAAATAAAGAACAAATAAAAAATAATTTTTCGTTAAACTTTCCAAATGTCGACAAAACAAAACACGCTAGACAAAGTGGGATCTTTTTGTGTCGGTAAAATGAATTCTGCGAGAAATGTCTTTTGGAAATGCTTTAATACGCCCACATTGATATAATAACCATTGTATCAAAGCAGTGGCAGTCGGTGCCGTTTATGATGAGGGTGGAGGCCGATTTTTTGTTTTTCATGAGCATGGCCTTATTTCTATTACAGCGTAATGGATGACTCTCATTCATATTCACCCAGTTCAACGTAACAGTGATAGGTTTGGGCTACTACATGATACTGGAATTTACCCATCATGAGGTTGCTACAACCTAGCCTATGAATGAACGTATACAACGTAGGTGCACACAGGTCGAGAGACACATTTGAGATGACAGTGACACGTTCAATACCTCCTTGCACACTCTTACCTGCATCTAGTCCAACAACCTCATGATGGGTATAGTGCAAATTCTAGTATCATGTAGTAGCCTAAACCTATCTATGTTACATAAACTAAAGTAACAAATAAAATAACAACGAGGCTATATTTATTTTATTTTTATTTCACCAGGTAAGCCAGTTGAGAACAAGTTCTCATTTACAACTGCGACCTGGCCAAGATAAAGCAAAGCAGTGTGTTAAAAACAACAACAACACAGAGTTACATATGGAATAAACAAAAGGGGGGGGGTCAATGCAAATAGTCCGGGTGGCCATTTCATTAATTGTTCAGCAGTCTTATGGCTTGGGGGTAGAAGCTGTTAAGGAGCCTTTTGGATCTAGACTTGGCGCTCCGGTACCGCTTGCCATGCGGTAGTAGAGAGAACAGTCTATGACTAGGGTGACTGGAGTCTTTGACAATTTTTTGGGTCTTCCTCTGACACCGCCTGGTATAGAGGTCCTGGATGGCAGGAAGCTTGGCCCCAGTGATGTACTGGGCCGTACGCACTACCCTCTGTAGCGCCTTACAGTTGGAGGCTGAGCAGTTGCCAAACCAGGCAGTGATGCAACCGGTCAGGATGCTCTCGATGGTGCAGCTGTAGAACTTTGAGGATCTGGGGACCCATGCCAAATCTTTTCAGTCTCCTGAGGGGGAAAGGTGTTGTCGTGCCCTCTTCACGACTGTCTTGGTGTGTTTGGACCATGATAGTTTGTTGGTGATGTGGACACCAAGAAGCTCTCAACCTGCTCCACTACAGCCCCGTCGATGTGAATGGGGGCGTGTTCGGCCCTCCTTTTCCTGTAGTCCATGATCAGCTCCTTTGTCTTGATCACGTTGAGGTAGAGGTTGTTGTCCTGGCACCACATGGCCAGGTCTCTGACCTCCTCCCTATAGGCTGTCTCATCGTTATCGGTGATCAGGCCTACCACTGTTGTGTCGTCAACGAACTTAATGATGGTGTTGGAGTCGTGCTTGGTCACGCAGTCATGGGTGAACAGGGAGTACAGGAGGGGACTTAGCACGCACCCCTGGGGGACCCCCGTGTTGAGGGTCAGCGTGGCGGATGTGTTGTTACCTACCCTCACCACCTGGGGGCGGCCCGTCAGGAAGTCCAGGATCCAGTTGCAGAGGGAGGTGTTTAGTCCCAGTGTCCTTAGTTTAGTGATGAGATTTGTGGGCACTATGGTGTTGAACGCTGAGCTGTAGTCAATGAACAGCATTCTCACCTAGGTGTTCCTTTTGTCCAGGTGGGAAAGGGCAATGTGGAGTGCAATAGGGATTGCGTCATGTGGATCTGTTGGGGCGGTATGCGAATTGGAGTGGGTCTAGGGTTTCCGGGATGATGGTGTTGATGTGAGCCATGACCAGCCTTTCAAAGCACTTCATGGCTACCGACGTGAGTGCTACGGGGCGGTAGTCATTTAGGCAGGTTACATGCAGTAACGTTAGTGTACAGTCAAGTAAGCAGTTACACCGGCGGGTCCCGGTGGCAATAAATTAATAAAACCAAAAGCTTACCTTGACTTGAAAGAGTTCCAGTGTTGTGTTGGATAGTCATAGCCAGCTAGCTAACATAGCATCCCTCTGTTTGAGCTGGGGGCTTCAGTAGGCTAAACTAGCCAGCTAGCTAACATAGCATCCCTCTGTTTGAGCTGGGGGCTTCAGTAGGCTAAACTAGCCAGCTAGCTAACATAGCATCCCTCTGTTTGAGCTGGGGGCTTCAGTAGGCTAAACTAGCTAGGCTACATTTGCTAGCTAAGTAAGTGAAACTGGAAAATAATGACTCTCTCTCTCCTCCTTCATTGTTGAAGAAATTAATTTGTTGAAAACTGTTCAACTATTGTCTTTCTCTCTCTTTGAGTCAACTATTCACCACATGTTATGCACTGCAGTGCTAGCTAGCTGTAGCGTATGCTTTCAGTACTAGATTCATTCTCTGATCCTTTGATTGGGTGGACAACATGTCAGCTCATGCTGCAAGAGCTCTGATAGGTTGGAGGACGTCCTCCGGAAGTTGTCATGATTACTGTGTAAGTCTATGGAAGGGGTTGAGAACCAAGAGCATCCTAGGTTTTGTATTGAAGTCAATGTACCCAGAGGAGGATGGAAGCTAGCTGTCCTCCGGCTTCACCATGGTGCTACCCTACAGAGTGCTGTTGCGGCTACTGTTGACCTTTATTGCGTTTTAATCAATTATTTGGTGACGTGAATATATTTTTATCTAAAAAGGATAACGTTTTCAATGTTTTACCATTTTTATTTTTATGAAATTCACTGAGGATGGTCCTCCCATTCGTCCTCTGAGGAGCCTCCACTGTTGTACAATGCTTCAAAGAGCTGTGTGAACTAACATCTGATTCGCAAAAATGTACATGTTTAACTATGATTTATTTTATGCATCTTCCCCACAGCGGTGATGGCGACGACCACCCACACCACAGTGGTGAACACCCAGTACCCCCAGCAGCCCCAGCAGCCCCAGTACCCCCAGTACCCCCAGCAGCCCCAGCAGCCCTACCAGGGTGCCCAGTACCCAGCCTACCAGCCGATACCCGTCCAGCCTGGGTATGGGGCTCAGCCTCAGCCTGGCTACGGAGGTGGCCAGCCCATACCCACAGCACCAGGCTACCAGGGACAGCCCTTCCAGCCAGGACCACCCCCTCCCTACCAAGAGACTGGTAAGTGTCATAGACCTACAGGTTATGACGTAATGGCACCCTTTATCAGAGCTCTGTTCCTGGAGATCCACCCTCCTGAAGGTTTTCACTCCAAACCCGTTGTAACTAACCTGATTCAGCTTATCAACCAGAATCGGGTGCGCTAGATTAGGGTTGGAGTTAAAACCTACAGGAGGGTAGCTTTCCAGGAACAGGGTTGGAATTAAAATCTACAGGAGGGTAGCTTTCCAGGAATGGGGTTGGAGTTAAAACCTACAGGAGGGTAGCGCTCCAGGAACAGGGTTGGAGTTAAAACCTACAGGAGGGTAGCGCTCCAGGAACAGGGTTGGAGTTAAAACCTACAGGAGGGTAGCGCTCCAGGAACAGGGTTGGAGTTAAAACCTACAGGAGGGTAGCGCTCCAGGAACAGGGTTGGAGTTAAAACCTACAGGAGGGTAGCGCTCCAGGAACAGGGTTGGAGTTAAAACCTACAGGAGGGTAGCGCTCCAGGAACAGGGTTGGAGTTAAAACCTACAGGAGGGTAGCTCTCCAGGAACAGGGTTGGAGTTAAAACCTACAGGAGGGTAGCGCTCCAGGAACAGGGTTGGAGTTAAAACCTACAGGAGGGTAGCGCTCCAGGAACAGGGTTGGAGTTAAACCTACAGGAGGGTAGCTCTCCAGGAACAGGGTTGGAGTTAAACCTACAGAGGGTAGCGCTCCAGGAACAGGGTTGGAGTTAAAACCTACAGGAGGGTAGCTCTCCAGGAACGGGTAGGGTAGCGCTCCAGGAACGGGTAGGGTAGCGCTCCAGGAACGGGTAGGGTAGCGCTCCAGGAACGGGTAGGGTAGCGCTCCAGGAACGGGTTGGGTAGCGGGGGACCAGGGGAGGGTAGCGCTCCAGGAACGGGGAGGGTAGCGCTCCAGGAACGGGGAGGGTAGCGCTCCAGGAACGGGGAGGTAGCGCGCCAGGGACGGGGAGGGTAGCGCTCCAGGAACGGGGGAGGGTATCGCTCCAGGAACGGGGAGGGTAGCGCTCCAGGAACGTGGAGGGTAGCGCTCCAGGAACGGGGAGGGTGAGCCTCCAGGAACGGGGAGGGTAGCGCTCCGGAACGGGGAGGGTAGCGCGCCAGGCGGGGAGGGGTAGCGCCCAGGAACGGGGAGGGTAGCGCTCCAGGAACGGGGAGGGTAGCGCGCCAGGAACGGGGAGGGTAGCGCGCCAGGAACGGGGAGGGTAGCGCGCCAGGAACGGGGAGGGTAGCGCGCCAGGGACGGGGAGGGTAGCGCTCCAGGGACGGGGAGGGTAGCGCTCCAGGAACGGGGAGGGTAGCGCTCCAGGAACGGGGAGGGTAGCGGGACGGGGAGGGTAGCGCGCCAGGAACGGGGAGGGTAGCGCTCCAGGAACGGGGTTGGAGAGTCCTGGTCTATATGGAGCACTCCTTTTGATCGTGGCCCTATTCCATTTACAGCTGTGGGCCCTGGTCAAAAGTAGTGCTCTATATAGGGAATAGGGTGTCGTTTGGGATGTAAAGGTAAAGGCTAACTGGTAGACTATTCAGAGCGAACATAATGTAGCTAGAACCTGTAGTTACTACTGTCTCTGGTTACCAGGGTTTCACTTGGTTGAAACATGTGACTTAATACAGAATGTTAGGATAGTATTAGATTTACCTCAGGTGGTATTACTGGTGGTAGTCTGACTTGTAGTTGAACAGAGGAGATGGAAGTATTACTGATGGTAGTTGAGAACAGAGGAGATGGAAGTATTACTAGTGGTAGTTGAGAACAGAGGAGATGGAAGTATTACTGGTGGTAGTTGAGAACAGAGGAGATGGAAGTATTGCTGGTGGTAGTTGAGAACAGAGGAGATGGAAGTATTACTGATGGTAGTTGAGAACAGAGGAGATGGAAGTATTGCTGGTGGTAGTTGAGAACAGAGGAGATGGAAGTATTACTGGTGGTAGTTGAGAACAGAGGAGATGGAAGTATTACTGGTGGTAGTTGAGAACAGAGGAGATGGAAGTGTTCTGGTGGTAGTTGGAACAGAGGAGATGGAAGTATTACTGGTGGTAGTTGAGACAGAGAGATGGAAGTATTACTGGTGGTATTGAGAACAGAGGAATGGAGTTCTGGTGTAGTTGAGAACAGAGGAGATGGAAGTATTACTGGTGGTAGTTGAGAACAGAGAGATGGAAGTATTCTGTGTAGTTGAGAACAGAGGAGATGGAAGTATTACTGGTGGTAGTTGAGAACAGAGGAGATGGAAGTATTACTGGTGGTAGTTGAGAACAGAGGAGATGGAAGTATTGCTGGTGGTAGTTGAGAACAGAGGAGATGGAAGTATTACTGGTGGTAGTTGAGAACAGAGGAGATGGAAGTATTACTGGTGGTAGTTGAGAACAGAGGAGATGGAAGTATTGCTGGTGGTAGTTGAGAACAGAGGAGATGGAAGTATTACTGGTGGTAGTTGAGAACAGAGGAGATGGAAGTATTACTGGTGGTAGTTGAGAACAGAGGAATGGAGTTTACTGGTGGTAGTTGAGAACAGAGGAGATGGAGTATTACTGGTGGTAGTTGAGAACAGGAGATGGAGTAGTTGCTGGTGGTAGTTGAGAACAGAGGAGATGAGATGTGTAGTGAGGGTAGAGCTGGTGGTAGTTGAGAACAGAGGAGAGTGGTGGTAGTTGAGAAGGTGAGCTGGTGGTAGTTGAGGAGGGAGGAGTCTGGTGGTAGTTGAGAGAGGTAGAGCCTGGTGGTAGTTGAGGAGAGTGGAGACTGGTGGTAGTTGAGGAGAGGTAGAGCCTGGTGGTAGTTGAGGAGGGAAGCTGGTGGTAGTTGAGGAGAGGAGACCTGGTGGTAGTTGAGGAAGGTAGAGCCTGGTGGTAGTTGAGGAGGGTAGAGCCTGGTGGTAGTTGAGAGAGGTAGAGCCTGGTGGTAGTTGAGGAGAGGTGAGCTGGGGTAGTTGAGGAGAGGGTAGAGCCTGGTGGTAGTTGAGGAGGTAGAGCCTGGTGGTAGTTGAGGAGGTAGAGCCTGGTGGTAGTTGAGGAGGGTAGAGCCTGGTGGTAGTTGAGGAGGGTAGAGCCTGGTGGTAGTTGAGGAGGTAGAGCCTGGTGGTAGTTGAGGAGGTAAGCCTGGTGGTAGTTGAGGAGAGGTAAGCCTGGTGGTAGTTGAGGAGGAGGTAGAGCCTGGTGGTAGTTGAGGAGGGAGAGCCTGGTGGTAGTTGAGGAGGGAGAGCCTGGTGGTAGTTGAGGAGGTAGAGCTTGGTGGTAGTTGAGGAGGGAGAGCTTGGTGGTAGTTGAGGAGGTAGAGCTTGGTGGTAGTTGAGGAGGGAGAGCCTGGTGGTAGTTGAGGAGGTAGAGCCTGGTGGTAGTTGAGGAGAGGTAGAGCCTGGTGGTAGTTGAGGAGAGGTAGAGCCTGGTGGTAGTTGAGGAGAGGTAGAGCCTGGTGGTAGTTGAGGAGAGGTAGAGCCTGGTGGTAGTTGAGGAGAGGTAGAGCCTGGTGGTAGTTGAGGAGAGGTAGAGCCTGGTGGTAGTTGAGGAGAGGTAGGAGCCTGGTGGTAGTTGAGGAGAGGTAGAGCCTGGTGGTAGTTGAGGAGAGGTAGAGCCTGGTGGTAGTTGAGGAGAGGTAGAGCCTGGTGGTAGTTGAGGAGAGGTAGAGCCTGGTGGTAGTTGAGGAGAGGTAGAGCCTGGTGGTAGTTGAGGAGAGGTAGAGCCTGGTGGTAGTTGAGGAGAGGTAGAGCCTGGTGGTAGTTGAGGAGAGGTAGAGCCTGGTGGTAGTTGAGGAGAGGTAGAGCCTGGTGGTAGTTGAGGAGAGGGTAGAGCCTGGTGGTAGTTGAGGAGAGGTAGAGCCTGGTGGTAGTTGAGGAGAGGTAGAGCCTGGTGGTAGTTGAGGAGAGGTAGAGCCTGGTGGTAGTTGAGGAGAGGTAGAGCCTGGTGGTAGTTGAGGAGAGGTAGAGCCTGGTGGTAGTTGAGGAGAGGTAGAGCCTGGTGGTAGTTGAGGAGAGGTAGAGCCTGGTGGTAGTTGAGGAGAGGTAGAGCCTGGTGGTAGTTGAGGAGAGGTAGAGCCTGGTGGTAGTTGAGGAGAGGTAGAGCCTGGTGGTAGTTGAGGAGAGGTAGAGCCTGGTGGTAGTTGAGGAGAGGTAGAGCCTGGTGGTAGTTGAGGAGAGGTAGAGCCTGGTGGTAGTTGAGGAGAGGTAGAGCCTGGTGGTAGTTGAGGAGAGGTAGAGCCTGGTGGTAGTAGTGAGGGAGAGCTGTGGATTAGAGGGAGCCTGGTGGTAGTTGAGGAGAGGTAGAGCCTGGTGGTAGTTGAGGAGAGGTAGAGCCTGGTGGTAGTTGAGGAGAGGTAGAGCCTGGTGGTAGTTGAGGAGGTAGAGCCTGGTGGTAGTTGAGGAGGAGGTAGAGCCTGGTGGTAGTTGAGAGGAGGTAGAGCCTGGTGGTTCCTGTCAAAGCCCCAAAAACACCACCTCTGTCTGGTATGGTGTGGTCTCAGTGTGTCTGGTGTATTCTTAGTGTGTCTGGTGTGGTGTGTTCTCAGTGTGGTGTGTCTCAGTGTGTCTGGTGTGGTGTGTTCTCAGTGTGGTGTGTTCTCAGTGTGGCGTGTTCTCAGTGTGGTGTGTTTCATGTCCTCTCTCTCTCTACCAGGTCCAGCGTATCCTCCTGCTATTCCAGTGCCTTATAGTCAGGCTGGTTTCAGTCCAGGACAGCCGTCCTACCCCATCCAGCCTCCAGCCCAGCAGCCATCCTTCCCAGCCCAGGCTAGTGCGCCTCCCACCCAGCCCGGTGCGCCTCCCACCCAGCCCGCCTACAACCCTGCCTTCGTGGACTCCCAACCTCCGAAGACTGGCTACTGAAGCAGTTCTCCCTCCCTCTGTCTCCCTCCACCCTCTGTCTGTCTGTCTGTCTGTCTGTCTGAAGCCATACATCCAACCATGAGCTTATAGAGCTCACCTGGGAGAGAACTGAACTGTTTGCGTCCCAAATGGCACCTTATTCTCTAAATAGTGCACTACCCTGGTCAAAAATAGTGCACTACACAGGGAATAGGGTGCTATTTGGGATGCATTCCTATATACGTTGTTAGGGCCAGGTTTATTATTATTATTATTACTACTGTCTAAACAAACAGCAAAAGGGAATCCTCATGTATTTCTGTGCCCCTGTCTTTCAGACCCAACCCAAAACTGACCTGCGTTGTACGATGAACTAAAAGTAGTTTTGTGGTTTAAAAACATTTTTGCACTGTAGTTGAATGACGTAGAGTAGAAGACAGCCAAGAATCAAACGTCTGAATCCTCGTTCACACAATTATGAAATATACGTAAATGTACTTTAGTGGTAAAACGTATGTCTTATTAAAATTCAACCTATCCTCTCTCGTACAGAAACTAGATGCAAGAAACAGTTGTGCCTTTTAAAAAAAAATTTGCCACAAATTCTTGGTTCAACCAAATGATATTTCTGTTGGTTTTTAATTAAAACGATCAGTTTTTTTAGACATTTAAAGCAGTGTTGACCTTCATATGTCTGTCCCAAACGGCACCATATTCTCCATGTAGTGCACTGCTTTTGACCAGAGCCCTATGAACTCTGGTCAAACGTAGTGCCCTATGTAGGGAATATAGGGTTCCATTTTGGACGCAACCCCATTTCTAAGAATGTTAAACCTCCACCATTTTAAGCCCTGTTGTTTTTCCATTGATGCTGTGAGATCATGTAAAAGCATTCTGAACCAAGCCTTGCAGGTGAACCAACGCTGAATTGAAACGCTACCAGCCTTCAAATGAAATGTAAATCCTTCAAATCTTTTTTATTTGTATTTTCTATGAGTGACCTCTTCTCTGTTGATACCGTCCCCCGTCTGTAATGGCACCCTATTCCCTATATAGTGCACTACTATTGAGGTCCTATGGGCCCTGGTCAAAAGTACTGCACTAAATGGGGGAAGCCAGACGTGGTTTTCCATGTTGTATCTGTGAAAAGCCGTTTCCAGAAAGGCCACATTGTGGAATGATCAGAAATGTTGTGTAGAACCATAGATGCTTCTGGTATGTTAGGAGTGAAGAATCATGTCAGGCCCAGAGTTGAGTTTGAGTGATATAGAGCCCCACAGTGGATGTGTCATAATACCCATAAAACCTAGCGGTCAAACAGGGAAATGGTTCCAATTGTTTTCCACCATTCATTTTTCCTATAGGGGATTTTAGAAACACTTAAAATAAGGTCTGTGTTTCGTGAAGGCTTACCCTGGCGTGACATTTTGATAACTGTGTAAATCTCTCTTGGACAAAGTTGATGTTTATCAATATATTCGGCTCTATGTACTGTCAAATTCAAAAATGCTAATTAGCATCAAAGTAGACATCTTGCAAGACTACAAATCCCTGCAAGCTCCTGCGCGTCATCTCTAGCCGGAACCTTTGCTATCAGGTACATTTAAAGATGCCATTTTGTTCATTACTATATTTAGCTAACATTAGATAGTTAATCCAGAGATTCTTACCTTTGCCTCGATTTGGCAGTCTAGTCTAGATCATCATAGCATTTGTAGTTGTGGGTTCGATCCCCGGGACCACCCATACACAAAAATGTATGCACGCATGACTGTAAGTCGCTTTGGATAAAAGCGTCTGCTAAATGGCATATTATTATTATTATAGTTCTTTATGATAGCAACATTAGTAGCTAATTAGCATTTAATTTGTTGGGGGTAAATACAGGCGAAATATATTGATAAGTCACTTTGTCCAAGAGATTTACACGGTTATCAAAACGTCACGCCAGGGTAAGCCTACACGAAACACAGCCCTTATTTTAAGTCTTTCTAAAAAATCCCCTATGTGAAAAACCGCTGGGTTTGATGGGTATTATGACTCATACTGTGGTCCTCTATCGGGGGATAGGATAACTTGAGACAGAATACTGGTCATTTGGAATGTAGCCTTTGTCTGTTGTTCATGTGACTTCAGGTTGTGAGCACCTTTTCAGCCATATCTGCTTTAACCAGCTGCTTATTTGACTGATTAAAATGACATGCTGTAGTTTTAATGTTATTTTATCAGGATTAAATACCACTCTGCTACAATGGCAAATAAACTTTTTTTCAACTCTTGTCTCATGACTGTACTTATTTTGCCTGGTCCCAGATCTGTTGGTGCTCTTGCCAACTCGTCTCAGTCTCCTCCAGTATTCTCATTGTGATACCTACATACACATCTGGAACAGACATGATACCTACATACACATCATCTACCTACACTATTTTATATAAAGGACCAACATGGCATAACAATGACTGATGAGGAGTTGGTATGATGGCACATACTCTGGTGAGTACAATGAATTGTCGTTTGCGCCAAGAGTTTTCTAGTCATCAAATATTTATTTTTGCAACACTGATGTCATTTCATGGATTGAACACATTCGAGTAAAAACTCACAAAGAGCTCAGTACAGTAATCATAGAAAAACTGAATTTTTTTACATTCCAATATCAAGAACAGTCATCTTCGTCAGCATTCCTCAGAAAGACAAGACATTACCAGCGTCCCAAATGGGACCCTTTTCTGGGCACTACTGTAGCCCACAGGGCTCTGGTCAAAAGTAGTGCACTATATAGGGAAACGGGCCCAATTTGGGACGCTGGCATTAGTAGCTGTACAAAGCAGGGCTGGGTTCAATTCAGTTCTCTTCCCCCCCCCCAGTCCTGACCTTAACCATTTGTGGGGGAAAATGATCCAAGATCAGTATCTAGGGGGAAACTTCACGCCAATCCGGTACACAACAGAGAAGGAACAACAGGTCAGGAGCCAGTATCTAGGGGGAAACTTCACGCCAATCCGGTACACAACAGAGAAGGAACAACAGGTCAGGAGCCAGCATCTAGGTCCACATCTTCAGTATCCTCAGACTCAGGACGACAAATCTCATCCAAAGCCAGTTCTAACAAAACAGAATACATGAGTTACACAGGAAACAGGGAAGATTTACACATAAAAGGATCATTGCAAGGATAGAGATATTCAATATATGGCTGGCTGGGTCCATGTGGAGTGACCACCCTCTACGACAGGGGGTGGTCAAACTTTTTGGACCAAGCTGTAGTGTGACCTGGAAAAAAAAAAACTGAACAGAAATATAAATGCAACATGCAGCAATTTCAAAGATTTTACTGAGTTACAGTTCATAAGGAAATCAGTCAATTGAAATAAATAAATGAGGCCCTAATCTATGGATTTCACATGACTGGGAATACAGATATGCATCTGTTGGTCACAGATACCTTTAAAAAATAGGTAGGGGCGTGGATCAGAAAACCAGTCAGTATCTGGTGTGACCACCATTTGCCTCATGCAGCGCGACACATCTCCTTCGCATAGAGTTGATCGGGCTGTTGATTGTGGCCTGTGGAATGTTGTCCCAACACGCTGTCGTACTCGTCGATCCAGAGCATCCCAAACATGCTCAATGGGTGACATGTCTGGTGAGTATGCAGGCCATGGAAGAACTGGGACATTTTCAAATTCCAGGAATTGTGTACAGGTCCTTGTGATATGGGGCTGTGAATTATCATGCTGAAACATGAGGTGATGGCAGTGGATGAATGGCACGACAATGGGCCTCAGGATCATCACGGTATCTCTGTGCATTGAAATTGCCATCGATAAAATGAAATTGTGTTCGTTGTCTGTAGCTTATGCCTGCCCATACCATAACCCCACCATGGGGCACTCTGTTCACAACGTTGACATCAGCAAACCGCTCGCCCACACAACGCCATACACGTGGTTGTGAGGCCAGTTGGACGTACTGACAAATTCTCCAAAACGACGTTGGAGGCGGCTTATGGTAGAGAAATTAACATTCAATTCTCTGGCAACAGCTCTGGTGGACATTCCTGCAGTCAGCATGCCAATTGCACGCTCCCTCAAAACTTGAGACATCTGTGGCATTGTGTTGTGTGACAAAACTGCACATTTTAGAGCTGCCTTTTATTGTCCCCAGCACAAGGTGCACCTGTTTCAAATCAAATTCTATTGGTCACATACACATATTTAGCAGATGTTATTGCGGGTGTAGCGAAATGCTTGTGTTCCTAGCTCCAACAGTGCAGTAGTATCTAACAATTCACAACAATACACACTAATCTAAAAGTAAAAGAATGGAATTAAGAAATATATAAATATTAGGACGAGCAATATCGGAGTGGCATTGACTAAAATACAGTAGAATAGAATACAGTATATACATATGAAATGAGTAAAGCGGTATGTAAACATTATTAAAGTGACTAGCGTTCCATTATTAAAGTGACCAGTGATTCCATGTCTATGTATATGGGGCAGCAGCCTCTAAGGTGCAGGGTTGCGTAACTGGGTGGTAGCCGGCTAGTGATGGCTATTTAACAGTCTGATGGCCTTGAGATAGAAGCTGTTTTTCAGTCTCTCGGTCCCAGCTTTGATACACCGGTACTGACCTCGCCTTCTGGATGATAGCGGGGTGAACAGGCCGTGGCTCGGGTGGTTGATGTCCTTGATGATCTTTTTGGCCTTTCTGTGACATCGGGTGCTGTAGGTGTCTTGGAGGGCAGGCAGTGTGCCCCCGGTGATGCGTTGGGCTGACCGCACCACCATCTGGAGAGCCCTGCGGTTGCGGGCGGTGCAGTTGCCGTACCAGGCGGTGGTACAGCCCGACAGGATGCTCTCAATTGTGCATCTGTAAAAGTTTGTGAGGGTCTTAGGTGCCAAGCCAAATGTCTTCAGCCTCCTGAGGTTGAAGAGGCGCCGTCACACCTTCACCACACTGTCTGCGTGGGTGGACCATTTCAGATGGGCAGTGATGTGTACGCCGAGGAACTTGAAGCTTTTTACCTTCTCCACCGCGGTCCCGTCGATGTGGATAGAGGCGTGTTCCCTCGTTTTGTTGACATTGAGGGAGAGGTTATTTTCCTGGCACCACTACACCAGGGCCCTCAACTCCTCCCTGTAGGCGGTCTGGTCATTGTTGGTAATCAGGCCTACCACTGTTGTGTCATCTGCAAACTTGATGATTGAGTTGGAGGCGTGTGTGGCCACCCAGTCACGGGTGAACAGGAAGTACAGGAGGGGGCTGAGCACGCACCCTTGTGGGGCCCCTGTGTTGAGGATCAGCGAAGTGGAGGTGTTGTTTCCTACCTTCACCACCTGGGGGCGGCCCGTCAGGAAGTCCAGGACCCAGTTGCACAGGGCAGGGTTCAGACCCAGGGCCCCGAGCTTAATGATGAGCTTGGAGGGTACTATGGTGTTGAAGGCTGAGCTATAGTCATTGAACAGCATTCTTACATAAGTATTCCTCTTGTCCAGATGGGATAGGGCAGTGTGATGGCGATTGTATCGTCTGTGGATCTATTGGGGCAGTATGCAAATTGAAGTGGGTCTAGGGTGTCAGGTAAGGTAGAGGTGGATATGAACATATCCCAGTCCACGTGATCAAAACAATCTTGAAGCATGGATTCTCCGATTGGTCAGATCAGCGTTGAATAGACCTTAGCACAGGTACTTCCTGTTTGAGTTTCTGCCTATAGGAATGGAGGAGCAAAATGGAGTCGTGATCTGATTTGCCGAAGGGTGGGCGGGGGAGGGCCTTGTAGGCATCCCGGAAGGGGGAGTAGCAGTGGTCGAGCGTTTTACTAGCGCGAGTACTACAGTCAATGTGTTGATAGAACTTCGGTAGCGTTTTCCTCAAATTTGCTTTGTTAAAGTCCCCAGTTACAATAAATGCGGCCTCAGGATACGTGGTTTCCAGTTTGCATAAAGTCCAGTGTAGTTCCTTGAGGGCCGTCGTGGTATCGGCTTGAGGGGGAATATACACGGCTATAACCGAAGAGACTTCTCCTGGGAGGTAATACGGACAGATTTGATTGTGAGGTATTCTAGGTTGGGTGAACAAAAGGACTTGTATGTTATCACAATCACACCATGAGTAGTTAATCATGAAACATACACCACTGCCTTTCTTCTTCCCGGATAGTTCTTTATTCCTGTCTGCGCGATGTACTGAGAACCCAGCTGGCTGTATGGACGGGGTCAGTATGTTACAGTTCCTGATGTCTCTCTGGAAGGAGATCCTCGCCCTGAACTCGTCTACTTTTAATGTCCAGAGACTGAACATTAGCGAGTAATATACTCTGAAGCTGTGGATGGTGTGCCCGCCTCCTGAGTCGGACTAGATGTCCACTCCGAATACCTCTTGGAGCAGCCTCTGGGATAAGTTCAATTGCCCTGGGGGGTACGAACAAAGGATCCAATTCGGGAAAGTCGTATTCCTGGTCGTAATGCTGGTGAGTTACCGCCGCTCTGATATCCAAAAGTTATTTCCGGCTGTATGTAATAACACAAAAAAACGTTCTGGGCTAATAATGTAAGAAATAACACACCAAAAAAACAAAATACTGCAAAGTTGCTTAGGAGCTAGAAGCAGAGCTGCCATGTCTGTTGCTTAGGAGCTAGAAGCAGAGCTGCCATGTCTGTTGCTTAGGAGCTAGAAGCAGAGCTGCCATGTCTGTTGCTTAGGAGCTAGAAGCAGAGCTGCCATGTCTGTTGCTTAGGAGCTAGAAGCAGAGCTGCCATGTCTGTTGCTTAGGAGCTGGAAGCAGAGCTGCCGTGTCTGTTGCTGAGGAGCTAGAAGCAGAGCTGCCATGTCTGTTGCTTAGGAGCTGGAAGCAGAGCTGCCGTGTCTGCTGCTTAGGAGCTAGAAGCAGAGCTGCCAAGTCTGTTGCTTAGGAGCTAGAAGCAGAGCTGCCATGTCTGTTGCTTAGGAGCTAGAAGCAGAGCTGCCATGTCTGTTGCTTAGGAGCTAGAAGCAGAGCTGCCATGTCTGTTGCTGAGGAGCTAGAAGCAGAGCTGCCATGTCTGTTGCTTAGGAGCTAGAAGCAGAGCTGCCATGTCTGTTGCTTAGGAGCTAGAAGCAGAGCTGCCGTGTCTGTTGCTCAGGAGCTAGAAGCAGAGCTGCCATGTCTGTTGCTTAGGAGCTAGAAGCAGAGCTGCCATGTCTGTTGCTTAGGAGCTAGAAGCAGAGCTGCCATGTCTGTTGCTTAGGAGCTAGAAGCAGAGCTGCCGTGTCTGTTGCTTAGGAGCTGGAAGCAGAGCTGCCATGTCTGTTGCTTAGGAGCTAGAAGCAGAGCTGCCGTGTCTGTTGCTCAGGAGCTAGAAGCAGAGCTGCCATGTCTGTTGCTTAGGAGCTAGAAGCAGAGCTGCCATGTCTGTTGCTTAGGAGCTAGAAGCAGAGCTGCCATGTCTGTTGCTGAGGAGCTAGAAGCAGAGCTGCCATGTCTGTTGCTCAGGAGCTAGAAGCAGAGCTGCCATGTCTGTTGCTTAGGAGCTAGAAGCAGAGCTGCCATGTCTGTTGCTGAGGAGCTAGAAGCAGAGCTGCCATGTCTGTTGTTGAGGAGCTAGAAGCAGAGCTGCCATGTCTGTTGCTTAGGAGCTAGAAGCAGAGCTGCCATGTCTGTTGCTTAGGAGCTAGAAGCAGAGCTGCCATGTCTGTTGCTTAGGAGCTAGAAGCAGAGCTGCCATGTCTGTTGCTGAGGAGCTAGAAGCAGAGCTGCCATGTCTGTTGCTCAGGAGCTAGAAGCAGAGCTGCCATGTCTGTTGCTGAGGAGCTAGAAGCAGAGCTGCCATGTCTGTTGCTTAGGAGCTAGAAGCAGAGCTGCCATGTCTGTTGCTTAGGAGCTAGAAGCAGAGCTGCCATGTCTGTTGCTGAGGAGCTAGAAGCAGAGCTGCCGTGTCTGTTGCTGAGGAGCTAGAAGCAGAGCTGCCGTGTCTGTTGCTGAGGAGCTAGAAGCAGAGCTGCCATGTCTGTTGCTGAGGAGCTAGAAGCAGAGCTGCCGTGTCTGTTGCTTAGGAGCTAGAAGCAGAGCTGTCATGTCTGTTGGCGCCATCTTTGATCATGCTGTTTAATCAGCTTGTTGATATGCCACACCTGTCAGGTGGATGGATTATCTTCGCCTAAGGAGAAATGCTCACTAACAGGGATGCAAACAAATTTGTCCACAAAATATGAGAGAAATAAGCTTTTTGTGCGTATGGAAAACATTTTTTTCAGCTCAAGAAACACGGGACCAACACTTTACATGTTGCGTTTATATTTTTGTTCAGTGTATATTTTTATTAAAAGACATATTTCCCGCTGGACACTGTTTGCCCACCCCAGCTCTATTACCTACCTTCACTCTCTGAGAGGTAGGGGATCCTCCTGAAGGTGTCTCTAATGGCAGGAATCATCTGGTCGTACATGTGGAGGACAGGGAGGCAGTGCTCCGAGAAGCTACTGTTGTTGAGGAAGAGCCAGTGGAGCAGCATCAGGGCCTCCCTCAGCAAGTCAACCCCAGGAGAGGTGCACCACGCTGGGCTTTGGGTCGCTGCCTCGACCCCAGGGCCCCCCTCCACTCGGCCCAGGAGGGCCAGCCACTGCCTGTGGAGGAGCACCACCGTGGTCTTCACTACCTGCTCACAGAGACAGACACAACCACCGTCAGAAGATGTTTCAAAATAAAAATCAGGGTTCCTACTCTTAAGACACTTTCCATGTCGACAGATAAGAATTCCATGACAGACACCAAAAGGCACGCTGGTCGACCAACTCTCCAAAGCTCTGACCATAGAGTTAGAATGAATAGAACGGCATCCCCCATTCAGGTCACTATGGTGAGAGGTTCCAAAAACGCCAAGCTATTCATTCTATTTTTGTAGCGCTGACAAACAGCTCTGCTTCTTACCTCACTGTGGCACTGACAGGACGACTCAACGAACACGGTCCACGTGGAAGCTTTCCTATTGAACAGACTGGTCAGGAAACGCACCACCTGTCAACAGAGGACACACACACACAGCATGTATGAACAGAAACATGTTCTCTGTCAGATCAGAGATAATCACATATCTGGTCCTCCCAACATAGAAGTTGTGATTTTGTTCTGTTTTCAACAACACATAGTCCTAGTTACCTCCACCTCCAGCTGAGACCAGTGAGAGTCTGTGACGGTCTTGTCAGGCCTGGAGGTGATATACTGGAATACCTTCAGGAACAAACACCAATCTGGGGGGACAACAATATCATGACGACCAGCATATTCATGGAAATACAGATTTATTCAACGTTGGTCAAGTACATAAGGTAATCTAATCAGTGAATATGAAGGAGACCCAGTCATCTAATCAGTGAATATGAAGGAGACCCAATCATCTAATCAATGAATTTGAAGGAGACCCAGTCAATGAGAGGAGGCCCCTTAGTTACTTGTATGACAGCAGAGGAGGCCCCTTAGTTACCTGTATGGCAGCAGAGGAGGTCCCTTAGTTACCTGTATGACAGCAGAGGAGGCCCCTTAGTTACCTGTATGACAGCAGAGGAGGCCCCTTAGTTACCTGTATGACAGCAGAGGAGGCCCCTTAGTTACCTGTATGACAGCAGAGGAGGCCCCTTAGTTACCTGTATGACAGCAGAGGAGGCCCCTTAGTTACCTGTATGACAGCAGAGGAGGCCCCTTAGTTACCTGTATGACAGCAGAGGAGGCCCCTTAGTTACCTGTATGACAGCAGAGGAGGCCCCTTAGTTACCTGTATGACAGCAGAGGAGGCCCCTTAGTTACCTGTATGACAGCAGAGGAGGCCCCTTAGTTACCTGTATGACAGCAGAGGAGGCCCCTTAGTTACCTGTATGATAGCAGAGGAGGCCCCTTAGTTACCTGTATGATAGCAGAGGAGGCCCCTTAGTTACCTGTATGACAGCAGAGGAGGCCCCTTAGTTACCTGTATGACAGCAGAGGAGGCCCCTTAGTTACCTGTATGACAGCAGAGGAGGCCCCTTAGTTACCTGTATGGCAGCAGAGGAGGCCCCTTAGTTACCTGTATGACAGCAGAGGAGGCCCCTTAGTTACCTGTATGACAGCAGAGGAGGCCCCCTTAGTTACCTGTATGACAGCAGAGGAGGCCCCCTTAGTTACCTGTATGACAGCAGAGGAGGCCCCTTAGTTACCTGTATGACAGCAGAGGAGGCCCCTTAGTTACCTGTATGACAGCAGAGGAGGCCCCTTAGTTACCTGTATGACAGCAGAGGAGGCCCCTTAGTTACCTGTATGACAGCAGAGGAGGCCCCTTAGTTACCTGTATGACAGCAGAGGAGGCCCCTTAGTTACCTGTATGACAGCAGAGGAGGCCCCTTAGTTACCTGTATGGCAGCAGATTCTAAAAGCTAGCTCATCACTGTGGGACAGGCCAGCTAGCAGAGAGACAGACAGAAACAGGGTCTGGTAGGACGAGTCTAGAGACAGGCAGCGAGACAAAGCCGGACTGGACACGACACACTGGAACCTGCAGGAGGTAATGCAACACATGACACAACATGAAATAACATGACATAACATGACATAACATGACATAACATGACATAACATGACATAACATGACATAACATGACATAACATGACATAGTAGGCTAGTGGCCAGTCCTCACAAAGGGCTTTAGTTTTTGAGATGCCTCAACCCAAGGCAGAACAAAACACACCTCAACCCAAGGCAGAACAAAACACACCTCAACCCAAGGCAGAACAAAACACACCTCAACCCAAGGCAGAACAAAACACACCTCAACCCAAGGCAGAACAAAACACACCTCAACCCAAGGCAGAACAAAACACACCTCAACCAAGGCCAGAACAAAACACACCTCAACCCAAGGCAGAACAAAACACACCTCAACCCAAGGCAGAACAAAACACACCTCAACCCAAGGCAGAACAAAACACACCTCAACCCAAGGCAGAACAAAACACACCTCAACCCAAGGCAGAACAAAACACAACCATGTTTTTCCACATCTCTAATGTCTCCCTTTAAATAAATGGAATATTTTACTGCAAAAATTGGTAATTTGATAGATATTGTGACCCCCCCCCCCCCTAAACTCAAAGTGCAGATTAGTGCCTGGCTGGAGGAGGGGTGGGCCAAATAAACTCATGTAACCCAATATTGCCAGATCTGATATTGCAAAAATGTTGAATCCAAGTAGTAAATTGTCTGCGCTACATACACAAACAAACAGCATTAGGATATCTTAATGCATCTAGGAAATATAGATACAATAGGTAGAAATATCAACTATGAAGATGTATGACGAGTGTAAGCTTTTACTTTTTGGTAGCTGATCAATAGACAACTTTCCGAGTCAAATTTGCCGTCATTCACTGCTTTATTGTAATAGTTACACATGTTTTATGATGTTGTGGCTATTAATCTAAATCGGGTCCAAGGAAAACATGTGGGCTGAGACAGTGAAAACTGTTGATTCTTTTCAGTCAAAGGTTCCTCTATTAGATTTTACATGTTCAACCTCTTGCAATTACGTTAGGGTGCGTCCCTAATATTTGACTCCAAATCAGAGAAGGCTGGTGGGAGGAGCTATAGGAGGACGGGCCATTGCAATGAACCCGTCCTCCTGTAGCTCCTCACACCAGCCTCCTCTGCTCCAAATCCATTATGGCATCGACAATCCAATATGGCTGCCAAATTACCATTAGATAGTGTATTTTAATTTTTTGTGTTTTTTCTTACATTATTTGCTCAGAAGAATTCTTGTATTATTACCTACAGCCGGAAAGAACATTTGGATATTAGATCGGCGGTCACCAGAAATTCGACTTCCCTGACACGGATCCTTTGTTTGAACTTCCCGAGGCAGCTCTATTCATCCCGAGGGGCTGCACCAAAACGCTGACACCGGAGAAGAGGTAGAAGGAGTGGGCCCTAGTCGCTCAGGAGGCGGGCACACCATCCACCCCTTCAGAGTATATTACTCGCTAACGTTCAGTCCCTGGACAATAAAGTAGACGAGCTCAGGGCGAGGATCTCCTTCCAGAGAGACATCAGGGACTGTAACATACTCTGTTTTACGGAATCATGGCTCTCTCCGGATATATTGTCCTCGTCCATTCAGAACTCTCTGTGAAAAAAGAAAGGCAGAGGGGTTTGTTTCATGTTTAACAACTTGTGATTGTGATAACGTACAGGAACTCAAGTCCTTTTGTTCTCCAGATCTGTTATACCATCAAATGCCGACCACATTACCTCCCAAGATAATTTTCATCGGTCATCGTCACTGCCATTTATATTCCCCCCAAGCAGACACCACGACGGCTCTCAAGGAACTCCACTGGATTTTGTGCAAACTGGAAACCGCATATCCTGATGCCGCATCTATTGTAATTGGGGACTTCTATCAACACATCTCCTGTGCTACATGCGCAACACGGACCCTGGATCATTGCTACTCTCCCATCTGAGAAGGCTACAAGGCCCTCTCCCGCCCTCCCTTCGGCAAATCAGATCACGCCTCTATTCTGCTCCTCCCCACCTATAGGTAGAAATTTAAACAGGAAGAACCCGTGGTAAGGACTGTTCAACATTGTTCTGACCAATCGCAATCTATGCTTCAAGATTGTTTTGATCACGCGGACTGGGAAATGTTCCGTGTCACCTCTGAGAATAGTATCGATGTATAACACTGACTCAGTGACGGGGTTCATCAGGAAGTGCATAGAGGATGTTGTTCTCACTGTGACGATTAGAACGCAATTCAGTGGCTCAGACACGACACGTATGTGGCAGGGACTCCAGACAATCACTGATTATAGAGGGAAAGCCAGATTATAGAGGGAAAGCCAGATTATAGAGGGAAAGCCAGATTATAGAGGGAAAGCCAGATTATAGAGGGAAAGCCAGATTATGGAGGGAAAGCCAGATTATAGAGGGAAAGCCTGATGATAGAGGGAAAGCCAGATTATGGAGGGAAAGCCAGCCACGTCGCGGACACCGACATTTCACTCCCGGAAAAGCTAAACAACCTTCTTTGCTCCCTTCAAGGAAAACATTGAGCCGCCGACATGGGCCCCAGATGCTCACGAGGACTGTGTGCTCTCGTTCTCCGTGGGTCGATGTGAGTAAATCATTTAAGCGTGTTAACCCCTCGCAAGGCTGCCGGCACAGACGGCATCCCAAGCCTCGTCCTCACAACATGTGCAGACCAGAACGCTGGAGTGTTTACAGACATATTCAATCTCTCCATATCCCAGTCTAATTGTTCCTGTACCCAAGAAAGCGAAGGTAACTGAACAAAATGACTATTGCCCCGTAGCACTCACTTCTGTCATCATGAAGTGCTTTGAGAGTTTAGTTAAGGATCATATCCCCTCCACCTTACCAGACACACTAAACTCACTACAATTTGCCTATCGCCCCAACAGATCCATGAACAACGCAATCGCCATTGCACTGCACACTGCCCTATCCCACCTGGACAAGAGAAATACCTATGTAAGAATGCTGTTCATTGACTATAGCTCAGCCTTCAACACCATAGTACCCTCCAAGCTCATCATTAAGCTCAGGGCCCTGGGTCTGAACCCCTCCCTCTGCAACTGGGTCCCGGACTTCCTGGAGGCAACAACACCTCCGCCACGCTGACCCTCAACACGGGGGCCCCACAGGGGTGCTCTGCTCAGCCTCCTCCTCTACTTCCTGTTCACCCACGAGGGTGGCCAGGCACGTCTCCAACTCAATCATCAAGTTTGCTGATGACACAACAGTGGTAGGCCTGATTACCAACAACGTCGAGACAGCCTACAGCGAGGAGGTGAGAGCCCTGGCGGAGTGGTGCCGGGAAAATAACGCTCTCCCTGAACGTCAACAAAACTAAGGAGCTGATCGTATAATACACACTCACAGGTTCTGTCACTCTCCTCATCTCCTGCTGGGCCTACCCAGACCGTAATCTCAGCCAACTGCCAACAGTAAATATCAGCCAAATAATAATAAACCTTACCCGACTTCAAAAGGAAGAAGTAGAATTTTTGCCTCCTTCAACATAAAAAACTAAGGGCAGGTCTGTTTGTGACAGCCCTTTCATAGGCTCTCCTTCACAACCAGACCTACCAACCATTCTATTGCTACAGTGTCCCCAGCATCATTCAGGCTGAGATAACATTTCAGTTAGTCAATGGGGTGCAAGCTGCATCTGCTGAGTGTCTTTACCCAACTGTTGTAGAACTACACAGCCCCAATACCCTGCCGGTCATACAGGAAGGATCCTGCCCTAGTCGCTGCAGCTTGCCCAGAATGACCAGTTAGCTGTGCAACCTGGTCAGGCCCCAGAACTACAACCTGGTCAGGCCCCAGAACTACAACCTGGTCAGGCCCCAGAACTACAACCTGGTCAGGCCCCAGAACTACAACCTGGTCAGGCCCCAGAACTACAACCTGGTCAAGCCCCAGAACTACAACCTGGTCAGGCCCCAGAACTACAACCTGGTCAGGCCCCAGAACTACAACCTGGTCAAGCCCCAGAACTACAACCTGGTCAGGCCCCAGAACTACAACCTGGTCAGGCCCCAGAACTACAACCTGGTCAGGCCCCAGAACTACAACCTGGCCAGGCCCCAGAACTACAACCTGGCCAGGCCCCAGAACTACAACCTGGTCAGGCCCCAGAACTACAACCTGGTCAGGCCCCAGAACTACAACCACTACTGGTTACTTTGCCTCCTCCCTGTTAGGACACCCCAAAGACTCTGAATCAACCTTGCACACTTAGTTTCAGAGGGGGAAAAAGGGTTATATGCTGCTAGAGTGGATGGTTGTTGTGTTACAGGTTGTTTTCCTGTAACTACAGTACTATGTGGTTGTGTTGTGAACAACATGAACACATTGAACAGCTAAGTTGGCTTCATCTATTCAAACACTACAGAGGCATGGAAGTGCCACTCATAGTCCTGGTTATATCAAGAGCCGTATGAAACTCTTGTAAAGACAAAATAAACCAGGGCAATGTATATATGTAGGCGAAGGTGTCTTAGTGTAACTATGTTGGCCATATTGGATTCAGAATGAAATTGATTTACACTAAAACAGTCTTCATGGACATGAGTGTTGTACAGGTGATTTGACGTCCATCAAAATGGTATTATGGCAGCCATATTGGATTTGAGGCTAAGTCCAGGCTGGCCCCAAAGATAATCTGCAGTGGCCTCCTGACTAAATTGCAAGAGTAAGGGGCTAAAGATACTAAATCCTTCAAGGAACCTTGGACCCAAGAAAATGTAATCCTGATGTCTGAGCCCACTTGTTTTCCTTAGAGCCACAACATCAACTGCATGTCTTGTTGCCAGGCAGCACCAGGCAGCGCTGAATGACGGCACATTTGACTCGGAAAGTTGTCTATTGATCAGCTACCAAAAAGTAAAAGCTTACACTCGTCATAAATCTTCATAGTTGATATTTCTACCTATTGTATCTATATTTCCTAGATGCATTAAGATATCCTAATGCTGTTTGTTTGTATATGTAGCGCAGACAATTTACTACTTGGATTCAACATTTTTGCAATATCAGATCTGGCAATATTGTACAATATCTATCAAATTTAACCACTTTCGCAGTAAAATATTTTTACACAACCATCCATTTCATAAATGGGAGACATTAGAAATGTGGAACAGCATGGTTGTGTTTTGTTCTGCCTTGCCACTAGCCTATAACATCACATAACTGGCCTGACTAGACAACACACAGGAACCTGCAGCCAGGAGACAACATCACATGTCTGAACAAGGCAGGAAACTCCCGTTCACGTTCTTCACTCTGCCTCATACCATTATAATAACGCATGGACCTGGAAACATTTCAATTATTTTGAAGATTGAACAGTCATTTGACAACAGAACAAAGCTGCCAAAACTAAAAGACCAGTCTTACATAAGACTAACCAAACTAGACACTCCCTGTCCCTTTCCTTTCTGCATTAACAAAGAGAATACGTCCCAAATGGCTCCCTATTCCCTACATAAGTGCACTACTTTGGGGACAGGGTGCCATTTGGGAAGCATCCAAGGGGCTTGCCTGGACAGCTGCCTCTCCTGTGCTCTCTCCAGCAGCATGTTGAGAGTCGACAGACTGCCGGGCACCAGGGCCTCCCTCTGAACAGCGCTGGTGGAGAAGGAGGGGTCTGATAGCTGAAGGAGCTTCCCGAGGAGAGGGTGGAGGTCCAGGCTGTCTCTGGTCCCATCTACTGGGGTCTCAGAGGTTCTGGAGGTCCCAGGCTGGATGGAGGTGTCAGGCACCAGGGGGGCCAGGATGGGCCTGTTGGTCAATAAAATAATTTCATTTAAATTTTAATTTATTTAGCCAGGATAGTCCACTCAGTAACACTTGCCACTGTTTTCCAGGGAGTCCTGGGATCCATTGAATCAATAAAATCAAACATTACAATAAATAGTCACTATCTTAAGTATGTGGGCACAGAACAGAGCTTCACAGACTGCCCTCTCAACACAGATTATAGACTGTCCTCTCAAAGGACGTTAATACATCTAACACAGATTATAGACTGTCCTCTCAAAGGACGTTAATACATCTAACACAGATTATAGACTGTCCTCTCAAAGGACGTTAATACATCTAACACAGATTAGAGACTGGGAGGCAAACATTTAGTTTTTTAATGCATGTCAACAGTGATGGCAGCTGACGGTTCAGCCTAGTAGCGTTTCTCAATTAAATTAAATGTTTCAAACATGCAAATAAGATCAAGCCCTCAACCTGTACACATAGCGTATGTATTATTACATGTTGCAGACATTCAGCCTGCTGACCATAACTTAATACACTGCTCAGCCTGCTGACCACAACGTAATCCACTGCTTATCTGTTGTTCAGCCTGCTGACCATAACTTAATACACTGCTTATCTGTTGTTCAGCCTGCTGACCATAACGCAATACACTGCTTATCTGTTGTTCAGCCTGCTGACCATAACGTAATCCACTGCGTATCTGTTGTTCAGCCTGCTGACCATAACTTAATACACTGTTTATCTTTTGTTGTGTTTTTAAAAAGTGTCGACTTGAATTTCCTCATTCAGGACATTAAAAGTTTTCAAAATCATCCAAACCTGTGTGTTGTGCTCCCCTCTGCTCCACCTTTTAGGGCCAGCAGGGTGTTCACCACCTCAGAGCTCTGGGCCACGCTATGATGCAGGACCTTCAGGGCTGCCAGGGCAAACTCCTCCTGACTCCCCAGGGAATCCTCCACGCTGGAGGCCAGGCTGCCGTCCGAGGACCCGGACAGAGAGCTCCCTCTCGGGGTCCTCTTACCAGACCCCGTCCCTGAGCCGTCCAGGGCTACGGCCTCCAGGCTCTGGCAGAACAGGCCGATGTGGTAGTCGAGGAGGGGGAGAAGGTGGACAGCACCGGGACAGGACCTGGTAGTGTTGGTCAGGGCAGGGGCAGAGTGAGAGGGGTTCGGGTTGGGCAGGTCCTGAGGCAGGGCAGAGTGAGAGGGGTTCGGGTTGGGCAGGTCCTGAGGAAGGGCAGTGTGGTGGCTGGGTAGGGCCATCATGTTGAGGCCAGACAGGGCCAGATTCTGGTAGTGTCTGAAGCGTGGCTGTTGACTGTGGGGCTTGTTGTGGCGGGGAACAACACTGGGATCTGGAGAGGAGGAACCGGAGCCAACTGAAGACCCTCTGTAAAGGGTGGACACGGTGTTACAATTACTGCATCAACCAACAAATACACTCAAATAAAACAGCCAAATGAGGGCTGATACAAAAACCCACGATGGGGGTCTTACGAGCTGAGACAGGTGTTGGTCAGGAGACCTGGTAGCGCGTCAGGGCTGATGCAGAGAAGGTGACCCAGACCCAGACTGCTGGGTTCTAGAGGATGCTGTAGCAGCAGACTTAACAGGACCGACCCTACAGAACCAGACAACAGTTAACATGGTGTCCCCACCAACACAGAGAGAACCAGACAACAGTTAACATGGTAAATGGATCCCCATTAGTTCCTGCCAAGGCAGCAGCTACTCTTCCTGTGGTTTATTATGGATCCCCATTAGTTCCTGCCAAGGCAGCAGCTACTCTTCCTGTGGTTTATTATGGATCCCCGTTAGTTCCTGCCAAGGCAGCAGCTACTCTTCCTGGGGTTTATTATGGATCCCCATTAGTTCCTGCCAAGGCAGCAGCTACTCTTCCTGGGGTTTATTATGGATCCCCGTTAGTTCCTCCCAAGGCAGCAGCTACTCTTCCTGGGGTTTATTATGGATCCCCATTAGTTCCTCCCAAGGCAGCAGCTACTCTTCCTGGGGTTTATTATGGATCCCCATTAGTTCCTCCCAAGGCAGCAGCTACTCTTCCTGGGGTTTATTATGGATCCCCATTAGTTCCTGCCAAGGCAGCAGCTACTCTTCCTGGGGTTTATTATGGATCCCCATTAGTTCCTGCCGAGGCAGCAGCTACTCTTCCTGGGGTTTATTATGGATCCCCATTAGTTCCTGCCAAGGCAGCAGCTACTCTTCCTGGGGTTTATTATGGATCCCCATTAGTTCCTGCCAAGGCAGCAGCTACTCTTCCTGGGGTTTATTATGGATCCCCATTAGTTCCTGCCAAGGCAGCAGCTACTCTTCCTGGGGTTTATTATGGATCCCCATTAGTTCCTGCCAAGGCAGCAGCTACTCTTCCTGGGGTTTATTATGGATCCCCATTAGTTCCTGCCAAGGCAGCAGCTACTCTTCCTGGGGTTTATTATGGATCCCCATTAGTTCCTGCCAAGGCAGCAGCTACTCTTCCTGGGGTTTATTATGGATCCCCATTAGTTCCTGCCAAGGCAGCAGCTACTCTTCCTGGGGTTTATTATGGATCCCCATTAGTTCCTGCCAAGGCAGCAGCTACTCTTCCTGTGGTTTATTATGGATCCCCATTAGTTCCTGCCAAGGCAGCAGCTACTCTTCCTGGGGTTTATTATGGATCCCCATTAGTTCCTGCCAAGGCAGCAGCTACTCTTCCTGGGGTTTATTATGGATCCCCATTAGTTCCTGCCAAGGCAGCAGCTACTCTTCCTGTGGTTTATTATGGATCCCCATTAGTTCCTGCCAAGGCAGCAGCTACTCTTCCTGGGGTCCAGCAAAATGAAGGCAGTTATACAATTTAAAAAACATTTCAATCCATTCATAACAGATTTCACAACACACTGTGTGCCCTCAGGCCCCTACTCTACTACCACATATCTACAACACAATATCCATGTGTAGGTGTGTGTATAGTGCGTATGTTATTGTGTGTGTGTATGCATGTGTCTGTGCCTATGTTTGTGTTGCTTCACAGTCCCCGCTGTTCCATAAGGTGTGTTTTTATCTGTTTTTTAAATCTGATTTTACTGCTTGCATCAGTTACCTGATGTGGAATAGAGTTCCATGTAGTCATGGCTCTATGTAGTACTGTGCGCCTCCCATAGTTTGTTCTGGACTTGGGGACTGTGAAGAGACCTCTGGTGGCATGTCTTGTGGGGTATACATGGGTGTCTGAGCTGTGTGCTAGTCGTTTAAACAGACAGCTCGGTGCATTCGTCATGTCAACACTAATTACAAAAACAAGTAGTGGTCATGAAATGGCACCGGAGGGGATGGCTGCCGTTTTACAGGCTCCTAACCAACTGTGCTATTTTGTTAGTGTTTTTGCGTTGTTTGACACTTATTTTGTAACTTATTGTGTACATAATGTTGCTGCTACCGTCTCTCATGACCGAAAATAACTTCTGGACATCAGAACAGCGATTACTCACCTCGAACTGGACAAAGATTTTTTCTTTAACGAGTCTGACGCAAAGGATATACTGCTTTCTCGGGAACGGGCCCAAATCTCCATAATTTGCGTGAAGAAAATACAGAGAAAAAGGGGGCGGAGCTCGGAGGTCGGGCTGCCTTCGGAGAATTCGTAGGCCAGTGAGTAAACTTCCACTACCATCCGTTCTATTGGCCAACGTGCAATCATTGGAAAACAAAATGGATGATCTACGATCAAGAATATCCTACCAACAGGATATTAAAAACTGTAATATCTTATGTTTCACTGAGTCGTGGCTGAACGACGACACCGCAGGACAGAGAAGCTACGTCTGGTAAGACGAGGGGCGGGGGTGTGTGTCTATTTGTCAATAACAGCTGGTGCGCAATGTCTAATATTAAAGAAGTCTGGAGGTTTTGGTCGCCTGAGGTAGAGTACCTCATGATAAGCTGTAGACCCACTATCTACCAAGAGAGTTTTCATCTATAGTATTCCTAGCTGTCTATTTACCACCACAAACCAATGCTGGCATTAAGACCGCACTCAACGAGCTGTATAAGGCCATAAACAAACAGGAAAACGCTCATCCAGATGCAGCGCTCCTAGTGGCCGGGGACTTTAATGCAGGCAAACTTAAATCCGTTCTACCTAATTTCTACCAGCATGTTAAATGTGCAACCAGAGGAAAAAAAAAAAACTCTAGACCACCTTTACTCCACATACAAAGCTCTCCCTCGCCCTCCATTTGGCAAATCTGACCATAATTCTATACTCCTGATTCCTGCCTACAAGCAAAAACGTCAATACAGGATTAAGATTGAATCCTACTACACCGGCTCTGACGGTCGTCGGATGTGGCACCTGACCACACGACTGGACAGTAGTCCAGGTGCGACAAAACTAGGGCCTGTAGAACCTGCCTTGTTGATAGTGCTGTTAAGAAGGCAGAGCAGCGCTTTATTATGGACAGACTTCTCCCCATCTTAGCTACTGTTGTATCAATATGTTTTGACCATGACAGTTTACATTCCAGGGTTACTCCCAAGCAGTTTAGTCACCTCAACTTGCTCAATTTCCACATTATTTATTACAAGATTTAGTTGAGGTTTAGGGTTTAGTGAATGATTTGTCACAAATACAATGATTTTAGTTTTTGAAATATTTAGGACTAATTTATTCCTTGCCACCCATTCTGAAACTAACTGCAGTTCTTTGTTAAGTGTTGCAGTGATTTTCAACTATATATAGAGAATAGACTGAGGGTTAGGTAAATAGTACAACTATATATAGAGAATAGACTGAGGGTTAGGTAAATAGTACAACTATATATAGAGAATAGACTGAGGGTTAGGTAAATAGTACAACTATATATAGAGAATAGACTGAGGGTTAGGTAACTCACCTTGATGATGAGAGGGTTGAAATGTGTTAAAAGGGTCTGAGTGAGTCACTTCCTGTCTGCTGCTGAACTGTGGTTTTCCATCTGAACACAAGACGACATGCGCCTAGTCAGAAGAGCCTTACAAACACTCACACTGGACTCTTTTCCCCCCTGACTTTGCCGATAGCTACTTTATTGAGGAAAATATACTTACGCCTGTGATATGTGGTTGTCCCACCCAGCTGTCTTCAGATGAATGCACTACCTTTAAGTCACTCTGGATAAGAGCGTCTGCTAAATGACTACATTTAAAATGTAACACATGGGGACTTGTAGCCTTGAGACATGTCCCCTGTAGCTCAGTTGGTAGAGCATGGCGCTTGCAACGCCAGGGTTGTGGGTTCGTTTCCCATGGGGGGGGGGGGGGGGGGGGGGGGGGGGGGGGGGGGGGGGGGCAGTATGAAAAATGTATGCACTCACTAACTGTAAGTCGCTCTGGATAAGAGCGTCTGCTAAATGACTAAAATGTAAAATGTAAATGTCTTCATAGTAATTGAGAGGGACTACAAGCCATGTCTCTAAATACACATTTTGTTGATCACTAAATAGGAGCTTTAATGATGTTACTCCATAACACAGGGGACTTGGGACAAAATGGTTTTAAAAATGGAAGGAACCGGTAGGAAACGTGATAATCCATAGTCAATCGATCAGCCAATCATACGTACCGTCTCTGAGGTGTCCTGGTCCGGAGGTCGTGCCCGGCGTTGACCTGGAGGGCAGCTGGGCACCAAACGTCTCCTTGGTGATGAAGGCTGTTCCCCCAGGAAAGGCTACACAGTGGGGGCTGCTGGCGGCACCACTGGCACCACTGGCACCCTGGAGCTGAGCAGCAGGACCAGACAGTCTGGGGCCCAGAGACAGGGGTTCATTAGTACCGTACCATTTAGAGGGTGAATGGGCAAGACAAAAGATTTACAGTGCTTTCTGAAAGTACAATTAGTATTCAACACCCTTTGTTATGGCAAGCCTAAATAACTTAAGGAGTGAAAACTTGCTTAACAAGTCACATAATAAGTTGCATGGACTCACTCTGTGTGAACTAATAGTGTTTAACATGATTTTTGAATGACTACCTAATTTCTGTACCCCACATATCCAATGATCTGTAGGGCCCCTAAGTGAAGCAGTGAATTTCAAACACCGATTCAACCACAAAGACCAGGGAGGTTTTCCAATGCCTCGCAAAGAAGGGCACCTATTGGTAGATGTCTTTTATGACCAAAAAGAGCTTCTGGATATCAGGACAGCGATTTCTCACCTCGTATTGGACGAAGATTTTTTATTCAAAGAGTCGGACGCAAAGGATATTCTACAGACACCTGACAAGGCCCAAATCCCTGTCATTCGCATGAGAAAGAGACGGAGATATCGTGGATATAGGTTGGGGTGCCTTGTAAGGATCCGACGGCAAGCGAGTAATCTGCCTCTTCCATCATTCCTATTAGCCAACGTACAATCATTGAAAAACAAAATGGACGACCTACGATCATGGATATCCTACCAACGGGACATTAAAAACTGTCATCTCTTATGTTTCACAGAGTCGTGGCTGAACGACGACATGGATATCATACAGCTAGCGGGCTATACGCTACATCGGCAGGACAGAACGGCTGACTCCGGTAAGACAAGGGGTGGCGGTCTGTGTATATTTGTAAACAACAGCTGGTGCATGAAATCTAATATTAAGGAAGTCTCGAGGTTTTGCTCGCCTGAGGTAGAGTATCTCATGATAAGCTGTAGACCCACTATCTACCAAGAGAGTTTTCATCTATATTTTTCGAAGCTGTCTATTTACCACCACAAACCGATGTTGGCATTAAGACCACACTCAATGAGCTGTATAAGGCCATAAGTCAACAGGAAAACGCTCATCCAGAGGCAGCGCTCCTAGTGGCCGGGGACTTTAATGCAGGGAAACTTAAATCCGTTCTACCTAATTTCTACCAGCATGTCACATGTGCAACCAGAGGAAAGAAAACTCTAGACCACCTTTACTCCACACACAGAGACGCATACAAAGCTCTCCCTCGCCCTCCATTTGGCAAATCTGACCATAACTCTATCCTCCTGATTCCTGCTTATAAGCAAAAACTAAAGCAGGAAGCACCAGTGACTCGGTTAATAAGGTAGTGGTCAGATGACGCAGATGCTAAGCTACAGGACTGTTTTAATAGCACTGACTGGAATATGTTCCGGGATTCTTCCGATGGCATTGAGGAGTACACCACATCAGTCATCGGCTTCATCAATAAGTGCATCGATGATGTCGTCCCCACAGTGACCGTACGTACATACCCCAACCAGAAGCCATGGATTACAGGAAACATCCACTATGAGCAAAAGGGTAGAGCTGCCGCTTTCAAGGAGCGGGACCCTAACCCGGACGCTTATAAGAAATCCCGCTATGCCCTTCGACGAACCATCAAACAGGCAAAGAGTCAATACAGGACTAAGATTGAATCGTACTACACCGGCTCTGACGCTCGTCGGATGTGGCAGGGCTTGAAAACTATTACAGACTACAAAGGGAAGCACAGCCGCGAGCTGCCCAGTGACACAAGCCTACCAGATGGATTAAATCCCTTTATGCTCGCTTTGAGGCAAGCAACACTGAAGCATGCATGAGAGCACCAGCTGTTCCAGATGACTATGTGATCACGCTCTCCGTAGCCAATGTGAGTAAGACTTTTAAGCAGGTCAACATTCACAAGGCCGCAGGGCCAGACGGATTACCAGGATGTGTACTCCGAGCATGTGCTGACCAACTGGCAAGTGTCTTCACTGACATTTTCAACATGTCCCTGACTGAGTCTGTAATACCAACATGTTTCAAGCAGAACACCATAGTCCCTGTGCCCAAGAACACCAAGGTAACCTGCCTAGATGACTACCGACCTGTAGCACAGGTGGTAAGGGTAGGTAACAACATCTGTCACGCTGATCCTCAACACGGGGGCCCCTCAGGGGTGCGTGCTCAGTCCCCTCCTGTACTCCCTGTTCACCCATGACTGCATGGCCAGGCACGACTCCAACACCATCATTAAGTTTGCAGATGACACAACAGTGGTAGGCCTGATCACCGACAACGATGAGACAGCCTATAGGGAGGAGGTCAGAGACCTGGCCTTGTGGTGCCAGGACAACAACCTCTCCCTCAACGTGATCAAGACAAAGGAGATGATTGTGGACTACAGGGAAAAAAAAGAGGACTGAGCACGCCCCCATTCTCATCGACGGGGCTGTAGTGGAACAGGTTGAGAACTTCAAGTTCCTTGGTGTCCACATCACCAACAAACTATCATGGTCCAAACACACCAACACAGTCGTGAAGCGGGCACGACAAAGCCTATTCCCCCTCAGGAGACTGAAAAGATTTGGCACGGACCTCAGATCCTCAAAAGGTTATACAGCTGCACCATCGAGAGCATCCTGACTGGTTGCATCACTGCCTGGTATGGCAACTGCTCGGCCTCCGACCGCAATGCACTACAGAGGGTAGTGCGTACGGCCCAGTACATCACTGGGGCCAAGCTTCCTGCCATCCAGGACCTCTATACCAGGCGGTGTCAGAGGAAGGCCCTAAAAATTGTCAAAGACTATAGTCATAGACTGTTCTCTCTGCTACCGCACGGCAAGCGGTCCCGGAGCGCCAAGTCTAGGTCCAAAAGGCTTCTTAACAGCTTCTACCCCCAAGCCGTAAGACTCCTGAACAGCTAATCATGGCTACCCAGACTATTTGCATTGCTGCTGCTACTCTGTCTATTATTTATGCATAGTCACTTTAACTCTACCCACATGTACATATTACCTCAACTAGCCGGTGCCCCCGCACATTTACTCTGTACCGGTACCCCCCCTGTATACAGCCTCCCTACTGTTATTTTATTTTACTGCAGCTCTAATTATTTTTTCCAGCAGCAGACTATGATCGATAATGTCAAAAGCCGCACTGAAGTCTAACAAAACAGACCCCACAATCTTTTTATCATCAATTTCTCTCAGCCAATCATCAGTCATTTGTGTAAGTGCTGTGCATGTTGAATGTCCTTCCCTATAAGCATGCTGAAAGTCAGGTGTTAATTTGTTTACTGTAAAAAAGCATTGTATCTGGTCAAACACAATTTTTTCCAATAGTTTACTAAGGGTTGGTAACAGGCTGATTGGTCGGCTTTTTGAGCCTGTAAAGGGGGCTTTACTATTCTTGGGTAACGGAATAACTTTTGCTTCCCTCCAGGCCTGAGGGCACACACTTTCTTGTAGGCTTAAATTGAAGATGTGGCAAATAGGAGTGGCAATATCGTCCGCTATTATCCTCAGTAATTTTCCATCCAGGTTATCAGACCCAGGTAGCTTGTCATTGTTGATAGACAACAATACTTTTTTCACCTCTTCCACACTCACTATACGGAAGTCAAAATTACAATGCCTGTCTTTCATAATTTGGTCAGTTATACTTGGATGTGTAGTGTTGGCGTTTGTTGCTGGCATGTGGCCTAAGTTTGCTAATCTTGCCAATGAAAAAATAATTAAAGTAGTTGGCAATATCAGTGGGTTTTGTGATGAATGAGCCATCTGATTCAATGAATGATGGAGCTGAGTTTGCCTTTTTGTCCAACATTTCATTGAAGGTGCTCCAAAGCTTTTTACTATCATTCTTTGTAATTTATTTTTGTTTCATAGTGTAGTTTCTTCTTCTTTTATTCAGTTTAGTCACATGATTTCTCAATTTGCAGTACGTTTTGCCAATCGGTTGTGCTGCCAGACTTATTTGCCATTCCTTTTGCCTCATCCATCTCAAACATCGTTTTTTTAAATTCCTCATCAATCCATTGGGATTTAACAGTTTTTACAGTCATTTTCTTAATGGGTGCATGCTTATTAGTAACTGGAATAAACAATTTCATAAATGTGTCAAGTGCAGCGTCTGGTTGCTCCTCATTACACACCACGGACCAACAAATATTCTTTACATCAACATAAGAATCACTACAAAACTTCTTGCATGACCTCTTATACACTATATTTGGCCCAGCCTTTGGATCTTTGGTTTCCTAGATATGGCTACTATATTGTGATCACTACATCCGATGGATTTGGATACTGCTTTAAAGCAAATGTATGCAGCATTAGTAAAGATGAGATCAATACATGTTGATGATTTCATTCCTGTGCTGTTTGTAACTACCCTGGTAGGTTGACTGATAACCTGAACCAGGTTGTAGGCACTGGTTACAGTTTGAAGCTTTTTCTTGAGTGGGCAGCTTGATGAAAGCCAGTCAATATTGAAATCACCCAGACAATATACCTCTCTGTTGATATCACATACATTATCAAGCATTTCACACATATTACCCAGATACTGACTGTTAGCACTTGGTGGTCTATAGCAGCTTCCCACCAGAATGGGCTTTATGTGAGGCAGATGAACCTGTAGCCATATTACTTCAACAGCATTTAACATGATATCCTCTCTAATCTTCACAGGAATGTGGCAGCACAGCCCCCTTTGGCATTACTGTCTTGTCTGTAAATGTTATAACCATGTATTGCTACCACTGTATCATCAAAGGTTTTATCTAAGTGAGTTTCAGAGATAGTCAGAATATGGATGTCATCTGTTGCTAGCAAGTTATTGACTTAATGAACCTTGTTTCTTAAGATATATATGTTAATATGGGCTATTTGTAACACTTTTCTGGGATGCTTGATTGTTTTCATTGCTTTACTGGGAAGCTTAGCAAAAGTAGACTTGCTCATGTTATTTATATTGGAGCTGATAGTGCAGGGTGAGCTGCACACAGTGGACTTCCTACTAGGGCACACCGCCTCAGTGCTAACAGTATAACTCTGGTTCATAGGCTCATGATTACTGCATACAACAGCTGTAGGATCAACAGAGGTATCCAGGGCAATTAGGGGGACATAAATGAAGTTACTTTCATTGTCTTCCAACGCTCCTGGGATAATGTACATTTGCTGAAGCATTATGACAACTCAGCATCACAATGGTAGGGATGAACGGAGCTGGGCTTGGGTCATTGATAAGTAATTGTCTCAACGCAGCCTTTTAATGGTGTGAAAGGATCCAGGAACCCAAATGATTTGTGTGGATCCCATCCTCCTTATATATATAGGTATGCTTGTCATCGGCAAGGACCAGCGAGTTTTATTTAATTAAAAAGAAACAGAATAGCGCTAAACACAGGCAAAATCCTAGAGGAAAATCAGTTTCAGTCTGTTTTCCAACAGACACTGGGAGACAAATTCACATTTCAGCAGGACAATAACCTAAAACACAAGGCCAAATATACACTGGAGTTGCTTACTAAGACGACATTGAATGTTCCTGTGTGGCCTAGTTACAGTTTTGACTTAAATCGGCTTCAAAATCTATGGTAAGACTTGAAAATGTCTATCTAGCAATTATCAACACCCAACTTGACAAGAGTTTGAAGAATTTTTAAAAGAATAATGTGCAAATATTGTAAAATCCTGCAAACTACGCATTTCCAGCAACCGAAAGCAAAAAAAAAAAAAGGCCTTATATAATAACAAATAAAGGAAAATGGTGCAGCCAGTCCACAAGGTGGCGCAGCGCCTGTCTTACATTCTTTGGCGAGAACCCTGATCCATATCAGACAAATATTAGTAAAGTCATAACAAAATGAAGACAATAGCTAACCCTCCCAGATTGAAAACGGTCTAATGTCTGCCTGAAAATTGTTGGTCTGCGTACTTTCGTCTTATGTTCAATCATCTCATTACATATCATATACAGAAAGACTGGTAGACTGAAGAGCAGCTAACCTGTTTCTTGGTGACAGCGTGTGTGTTTGGTTACCTGTTTCTGGTGACAGCGTGTGTGTTTGGTTACCTGTTTCTTGGTGACAGCGTGTGTGTTTGGTTACCTATTTCTTGGTGACAGCGTGTGTGTTTGGTTACCTGTTTCTGGTGACAGCGTGTGTGTTTGGTTACCTGTTTCTTGGTGACAGCGTGTGTGTTTGGTTACCTGTTTCTTGGTGACAGCGTGTGTGTTTGGTTACCTGTTTCTTGGTGACAGCGTGTGTGTTTGGTTACCTGTTTCTTGGTGACAGCGTGTGTGTTTGGTTACCTGTTTCTTGGTGACAGCGTGTGTGTTTGGTTACCTGTTTCTGGTGACAGTGTGTGTGTTTGGTTACCTGTTTCTGGTGACAGCGTGTGTGTTTGGTTACCCGTTTCTGGTGACAGCGTGTGTGTTTGGTTACCTGTTTCTTGGTGACAGCGTGTGTGTTTGGTTACCTGTTTCTGGTGACAGCGTGTGTGTTTGGTTACCTGTTTCTTGGTGACAGCGTGTGTGTTTGGTTACCTGTTTCTGGTGACAGCGTGTGTGTTTGGTTACCTGTTTCTGGTGACAGCGTGTGTGTTTGGTTACCTGTTTCTTGGTGACAGCGTGCGTGTTTGGTTTCCTGTTTCTGGTGACAGCGTGTGTGTTTGGTTTCCTGTTTCTGGTGACAGCGTGTGTGTTTGGTTACCTGTTTCTTGGTGACAGCGTGTGTGTTTGGTTACCTGTTTCTGGTGACAGCGTGTGTGTTTGGTTACCTGTTTGTGGTGACAGCGTGTGTGTTTGGTTACCTGTTTGTGGTGACAGCGTGTGTGTTTGGTTACCTGTTTCTGGTGACAGCGTGTGTGTTTGGTTACCCGTTTCTGGTGACAGCGTGTGTGTTTGGTTACCTGTTTCTTGGTGACAGCGTGTGTGTTTGGTTACCTGTTTCTGGTGACAGCGTGTGTGTTTGGTTACCTGTTTGTGGTGACAGCGTGTGTGTTTGGTTACCTGTTTGTGGTGACAGCGTGTGTGTTTGGTTACCTGTTTCTGGTGACAGCGTGTGTGTTTGGTTACCTGTTTGTGGTGACAGCGTGTGTGTTTGGTTACCTGTTTGTGGTGACAGCGTGTGTGTTTGGTTACCTGTTTGTGGTGACAGCGTGTGTGTTTGGTTACCTGTTTGTGGTGACAGCGTGTGTGTTTGGTTACCTGTTTGTGGTGACAGCGTGTGTGTTTGGTTACCTGTTTCTGGTGACAGCGTGTGTGTTTGGTTACCCGTTTCTGGTGACAGTGTGTGTGTTTGGTTACCTGTTTCTTGGTGACAGCGTGTGTGTTTGGTTACCTGTTTGTGGTGACAGCGTGTGTGTTTGGTTACCTGTTTCTTGGTGACAGCGTGTGTGTTTGGTTACCTGTTTCTGGTGACAGCGTGTGTGTTTGGTTACCTGTTTCTTGGTGACAGCGTGTGTGTTTGGTTACCTGTTTGTGGTGACAGCGTGTGTGTTTGGTTACCCGTTTCTGGTGACAGCGTGTGTGTTTGGTTACCCGTTTCTGGTGACAGTGTGTGTGTTTGGTTACCTGTTTCTTGGTGACAGCGTGTGTGTTTGGTTACCTGTTTCTGGTGACAGCGTGTGTGTTTGGTTACCTGTTTGTGGTGACAGCGTGTGTGTTTGGTTACCTGTTTGTGGTGACAGCGTGTGTGTTTGGCTACCTGTTTCTGGTGACAGCGTGTGTGTTTGGTTACCTGTTTCTGGTGACAGCGTGTGTGTTTGGTTACCTGTTTCTGGTGACAGCGTGTGTGTTTGGTTACCTGTTTCTGGTGACAGCGTGTGTGTTTGGTTACCCGTTTCTGGTGACAGCGTGTGTGTTTGGTTACCTGTTTCTGGTGACAGCGTGTGTGTTTGGTTACCTGTTTCTGGTGACAGGTGAAGCCGCTGCTTTCCTTCCTCTCTCTGTGTTCAGTAGTTTAGTCTTCATCTCATTCATCTCAGCCTCCTTGAAGTGCAGCTCAGACAGCAGGGACTGCACCTGTTGACACAGATCACTCTATTGGACGTCCAACGGAAACTTGTCTTCTGCTTCATTCCAACCCCTCCGTAAGACACGCATAGGTTGGATAGGTTGGAGAGTTAAAATACAGCCAGACAAACCAATGGGTTAGGGTTAGATGGTCATCAGAAGACCATTATAAATATTAAAAAAAAAAAATATATATATATATATATATATATATATATATATATATATATACACACTACCGTTCAAAAGTTTGGGGTCACATAGAAATGTCCTTGTTTTCGAAAGAAAAGCTATTTTTTTGTCCATTAAAATAACTTCAAATTGATCAGAAATACAATGTAGACATTGCTAATGTTGTAAATGGCTATTGGAGCTGGAAACGGCTGATTTCTAATGGAATATCTACATCAGTGTACAGAGACCCATTATCAGCAACCATCAGTCCTGTGTTCCAATGGCACGTTGTGTTTGCTAATCCAAGTTTATCATTTTAAATGGCTAATTGATCATTAGAAAACCCTTTTGCAATTATGTTAGCACAGCTGAAAACTGTTGTGCTGATTAAAGAAGCAATACAACTGGCCTTCTTGAGACTAGTTGAGTATCTGGAGCATCAGCAATTGTGCGTTCGATTACAGCCTCAAAATGGCCAGAAACAAATAACTTTCTTCTGAAACTCGTCAGTCTATTCTTGTTCTGAGAAATGAAGGCTATTCCATGCGAGAAATTGCCAAGAAACTGAAGATCTCGTACAACGCTGTGTACTACTCCCTTCACAGAACAGCGCAAACTGTCTCTAACCAGAATAGAAAGAGGAGTGGGAGGCCCCGGTAAACAACTGAGCAAGAGGACAAATACATTAGTGTCTAGTTCGAGAAACAGACGCCTCACAGGTCCCCAACTGGCAGCTTCATTAAATAGTACCCGCAAAACACCAGTCTCAACGTCAACAGTGAAGAGGCGACTCCGGGATGCTGACCTTCTACATTTACATTTAAGTAAATTAGCAGACGCCCTTATCCAGAGCGACTTACAGTTAGTGAGTGCATACATTTTTTTTTTTTTTTTTCTCATACTGGCCCCCCGTGGGAATCAAACCCACAACCCTGGCGTTGCAAACGCCATGCTCTACAAACTTAGCTACATCCCTACCGGCCATTCCCTCCCCTACCCTGGACGACGCTGGGCCAATTGTGCGCTGCCCCATGAGTCTCCCGGTCGCGGCCAGCTTCGACAGAGCCTGGAATCAAACCAGGATCTCTAGTGGCACAGCTAGCACTGTGATGCAGTGCCTTAGACCACTGTGCCACTCTAATCAGAGTTGCAAAGAAAAAGCCATATCTCAGACTGGCCAATAAAAAGATGGACAGTCTGAGATATGGCTTTTTCTTTGCAACTCTGCCTAGAAGGTCAGCATCCCGCCTCTTCACTGTTGACGTTGAGACTGGTGTTTTGCGGGTACTATTTAATGAAGCTGCCAGTTGACCATTATATATATTACATATACATACATACGGCACCCTATTCTCTTTATAGTGCAATATATATATATATTTATATATAAAGGCTCTGGTTAAAAGTAGCATAGGATGCCATTTGGGATGCATACAATATCAGCCAGAATGGATGAGAAAGGTTAATTTATTTAAACCATAAAGCAGTGGCCCATCATCTTGTGTCAGACATGTAAATAACCATTCAAGTAAAGGAGTAGGCTACCTCTGTACTCTTTGTTCACTACTGATCCAAGCCAAGCTGAGCCGAGCCAGACTGTCCTGTGTACGCAAAACTGACTTCCAAGGTGCTGCTAACAGTTGAGCTTCCTCCACTGCAACGGGGGTCAGTGTGCTGCTAACAGCTGTCCGACTCGAACCAGTGATACTCTGCTCGCAAACACATGTGACTGTCCTCCTTGACAACGTACCAACGGGTTGAGCAACCCAAAAGGTACCTCTTGGATGGTTTCATCTGCGACATTTCTAGCCAACTGTGAAGTGAGCTTAGGGTACGCTCTTAACTACATTACATACGGTTCGGGTCGGCATAGGGTTGCAAAATTCCTGTCACTTTGAAAAAAGGATAAGGTTTTCCAGAAATCCAGGCTGGAGGATTCTGGATTTCCTGCTTGTTCCCTCCTGATACCTGGAATTTTAAAACCAGGATTTCTGGAAAACCTGGGAATGTTGGTAAAGTTACCGGAATTTTGCAACTCTAGGTCGGACTCGGCAGGATAGTGTGTAAAGGGTCGTTTCTTAATACATCAGGGTTTGATAGTCGTACAGTATCAAAAACAGACTTGGGACGTCTACCTTCTTGGAGAGCTCCTTCTCCTTCTCGCTCTGAGCGTCTCTCTTCTCCCTCTCCAGGAGGAGCTGAGCCTGTCTTTGCGCCTCCTTCTCCTGCTGGGCGACCCTGAGGGAGTCACGCAGAACTCTGATCTCTCCGTTCTTCATCAGGATCTCCTCTTCTACCTCCTTCAGCTGTAGAACACAACCACATCACACCGTCATATTTGGTTTATGACTAGCCAAACATGCTATTGAGCATGCTGCTGAGACTTCTAAAAGGTAAACTAGCAATGTGAGTACATGTCATGAGACTTTCCAGGATTTGAGTTTAACACCTCAGCATGTCAGTTTCCAACCTTTTTCTTGAGGTCTGCTTGTTGGGCTTCCAATTGCTTTAAATGCTCCCCGTCAGTTTTTGACTGATGTCCGTTTCCTGCAAAAACAAGTGGAAAATATATATTCTGTCGGCATTGGAAGAACAAATCAAATCAAAAATCTTATTTATTTCTCACATGCGCCGGATACAACAGGTATATATATATATATATATATATATATATATTCTGTCAGGAACAGAAAAACAAGTGGAAAATATATTCTGTCAGGAATAAAAAAAAACAAGAGAACAATATATATCCTGTCAGGAATAGGTACGTTAAGTGCTTTAGGCCACAGACAGTACATTTATTTCAGAAGTCTTACCAAAAGTTTCTTTACATGGAAACTCAGGGATCTCTCCGTCTCTCATTGGGTTACTCATGGCCAGACCAGAGGGTTGTTGTCTGCTCCCCGAATAAGACTTCTTCAACTCCCCTGGTCGAGGACCAATGGACCCCATCGCCATAGTTGTCCCTTTGGAGCTTGGCCCTGGTTCTGCTAGCTCCCCGTTCACGGCCTGAGATGCTATAATATCAATCTCTTCTAGATCATCCTGGGTGAAGTCATCGTCATCTCCGAAGGGGTCGTTACATGGAGCCGCATGGCTCATCCTCTTGAGGCGCTTGCTGGGTGGGTAGTCCATGTTACCGGTCCAGGGATGCGGCTGGGCTGGAATACCTACTTTGTTTTGCCGCTGACGTTACTAGAAAACGTATAGCTTGGATAGCCAAGTAGAAACGTTTTAGCTAGCTAACTAGCGCCAGTCAATGTGGGTCAGGGAACTCAACCATAAAACCTGACCCTCTCTGGTATGGCCATTCAAAGCAAACCTCTGACTAGTTATTTGTCGCACGTGTCACAATTTAGAAGGCATTCCTAAAATAGTTCACAAAAAAACACCTTCAGGCTAGCTCAGTTAGCAAGCTATCAAACCATGTTTCGAACGTTTTACAGAATGAGCAAATTACAACGCTCCTTATTCACGACCTCAACTTAAACAGCAATCCTATTGGTCTAGAAAGCGCTCCGTTGATAAAACTGTATGGGTAGCCAAATGGGACAAAAATAACAACGCGAGAGTTTCTCTCTCTCTCTCTCTCTCTCTCTCTCTCTCTCTCTCTCTCTCTCTCTCTCTCTCTCTCTCTCTCTCTCTCTCTCTCTCTCAATTCAATTCAATTCAATTTAAGGGCTTTATTGGCATGGGAAACGTGTGTTAAGTGAAGTAGATAGTAAACAAAAGTGAAATAAACAATAAATATTAACAGTAAACATTACACTCAGAAGTTCCAAAAGAATAAAGACATTTCAAATGTCATATTATGTATATATACACTGTTGTAATGATGTGCAAAATAGTTAAAGTACAAATGGGAAAATAAATCAACATAAATATGGGTTGTATTTACAATGGTGTTTGTTCTTCACTGGTTGCCCTTTTCTTGTGGCAACAGGTCACAAATCTTGCAGCTGTGATGGCACACTGTGGTTTTTCACCCAGTAGATAAGGGAGTTTATCAAAATTGGGTTTGTTTTCGAATTCTTTGTGGATCGCTGTAATCTGAGGGAAATATGTGTCTCTAATATGGTCATACATTTGGCAGGAGGTTAGGAAGTGCAGCTCAGTTTCCACCTCATTTTGTGGGCAGTGTGCACATAGCCTGTCTTCTCTTGAGAACCAGGTCTGCCTACGGCGGCCTTTCTCAATAGCAAGGCTATGCTCACTGAGTCTGTACATAGTCACTCTCTCTCTCTCTCTCTCTCTCTCTCTCTCTCTCTCTCTCTCTCTCTCTCTCTCTCTCTCTCTCTCTCTCTCTCTCTCTCTCTCTCTCTCTCTCTCTCTCTCTCTCTCTCTCTCTCTCTCTCACCCTCGCTCTTACTCACTCACGATAACTCTCACTCCAACTCTCACTCTCACTCCAACTCTCACTCTTAGTCCCTCTCCTCTCGCGGACAGACCAAAATCTGCACAAAAAAAGAAAGGGACAGACAATACTTTTTAATTGATGCCCATGAGATTGTTTACGCACCATTTCAATCCATGATATTGTGTCAGTGGTACATAGCAGATCATGAATACATCGACCAAATGTTTTAATATGGGTGAATATTGTGGTGATATCATTATGGCATTATTCTGTGTAGTAAATGATTGAGAAAAAACATTTCTATAAATTCTCCACTTTTACAAAATGAGCGGAAATCTTTCTTTATGACGTCATAGGTGATGTGTGACAGGATTGGTTGGCTGGGTTTGTGGTCCTCTAGAATGTTTACCAGCTGAGCAGAAAAAGAAGCAGCTGTGTAGTGAGCGCGAAAGAGATTGCACTGAAATACGTTTTTTCCACGTAATCTACATTTTCCCCTTTTCAAAATCTCGCAGTCCTATTTGCAAGAAGAAGAAGCGATCCAGTAACTTTTTCCTGATTGTAGACCAGGTTTGTTGTTTTTGCTCGTAATTTATGTTAATAATTGCAACAAAGAGAGACGTGTCGGTGGTTATAACATTGTTATTACCTTGGTTGTTCTTTCCGTTACAATCTTGGTCTAAATGTAGCCTATACGTTGGTTGTGAACTAATGTTCTCCCTTGGTTGACTCTATAGCTGATGATACGGATATAAAATGAAAACTGAAGTATCCACTGCAGCGAATTTCATCTCCAGATTACTGAAAACAACTGGACTGCTATCCCAGGAGCAACTTCAGCATTTCAGCCATTCCCTCGAAAAATCTCTGGGAGGTAAAATGGATGGGGAATATGTCTGTTCATGCATAGCGTAGCCTATAAGATCACCAGACAAGTATGCATTCAATCACATGGTCAGTAACACTGTCTTCTTTTTTCTTATGCAGATCAAGTAGTAGTTTAGGGCTACAGGCTATGTATGAACATTAGGCTGTCACTTAGCTAGCTACCTGTAGGACAGACAACGTAGACACCAGGATAGGCCAGAATAATCATTGTGTGGATTGCTTTGTTTTGTCATTTCTGGGGATATTCTTGCTGTTAAAATCTTCAATGGTGATTGATGTCTGAGTAGCAGACGTGTCATTCATTGACACACACACACACACAATGACGAAACATGAAGGACAGAGAACAAAAATGTCTATTATTATCAGGGTAAAGAACTGCATTTTTGAACGGCCAATCCTTTTCTATACGCCAATTCTGACATGACTTTGTCATTTCTCTTTGCAGAGCACTACAAGCACCACTGGTTCCCTAACGCTCCCTGCCGGGGCTCAGCTTACAGATGCATCAGAATCAATGAGAACCACAAGATGGACCCGGTGATCGGGGAGGCCGCCGGCACCATTGGACTGACCAGAGAACAGCTCTTCTCCCTTCTGCCCAGCGAGCTCACCATGTGGGTGGACCCGTACGAGGTGTCGTACAGGATAGGCGAGGACGGCTCCATCTGCGTCCTCTATGAATCTGAGCCATCATCATCATCATCATCATCTACAGCCTCTAACCAGAGCCAAGGGGACAGCAACAACAGAGCAGGCAGTTGCAAAGGTGAACTGAGAGTGGGGATGGGAAGGTCCAAAAAGCCCAAGTCCTTCACCATGATAAGGATCTCCAGCAGCTAAATGTTTACCTGCCCCACCCTCCTGGACACTTGGACCTAGGTTACACACATATTGGTTAGAATAATTGTTCATTTCTTTCTTTCTTTTTTTTAATATTAAAAAAATATGTTTAGTACTTTGAAGATCAACTTGTTCACCTTTATGGATATTGATACTACATGGGTCTATTTTGAGATAGAATTATTGACAGAAGATTAATTTTTAACGTATGTTCTTGATGTTGCTAATTTATACACAGTATATTAAACACACTGCATTTGAATGGAATGTCATAGGCTAATGATTTTGTCAAACATCATATTATTTGATTATGTCTGCATCTCCAAACGGTCAACAGTGTGACTTTGAAAAGGGAGGGTCCGGGAGGCTCAGAAGATATAAACAACCACAAAGACGCAAAAAAGTTGTGTCCGATATTACAGTGGGGGGAAAAAAGTATTTAGTCAGCCACCAATTGTGCAAGTTCTCCCACTTAAAAAGATGAGAGAGGCCTGTAATTTTCATCATAGGTACACGTCAACTATGACAGACAAATTGAGGAAAAAAAATCCAGAAAATCACAATGTAGGATTTTTAATGAATTTATTTGCAAATTAGGTGGAAAATAATTATTTGGTCACCTAGTGTCTGATATTATATTGATAATACAGAACACATATGTACATTTTAGTCATTTTAGCAGACGCTCTTATCCAGAGCGACTTACAGTTAGAGTGCATACATTATTATAAAAAATAAAATAAAAATCATACCCCCCGTGGGAATCGAACCCACATCCCTGGCGTTGCAAACGCCACGCTCTACCAACTGAGTTACATCCCTGCCGGCCATTCCCTCCCCTACCCTGGACGACGCTGGGCCAATTGTGCCTTATGTCAGTGGTTCCCAACCAGGGGTACTAGGACCCCTGGGGGTACTCAGTCTATCCACAGGGGGTACTTGAGAAGACTCATGAGACCATAGACCTACTGGTAAAATGCACATGAAGGGGGTACTTCAGGGGGTACTCCGGGCAGAGCCAAATTCAGTTAGTGGTACAGTAATGGAAAAAGGTTGGGAACCACTGGTGTACACTCCACTAACACATGGATCATCTACCGAACAGGTTGGGAACCACTGCCTTATGTTATGGAGATCTTTTACATATTTTGAACTTTCAAGTGAGGTAAAACATCTCTAAAAGGTCGTTTTGAAATATATTTTAATAAAGTTATGCTGTGGAATAACCGTTTTTTTAACTTAAGAATTAGAATAAGTCGATATAAAGTGAAATCAAAATAAGAACGGTGAGTCAGATACACTATATATACACAACAGTCTGTGGACACCCCGTTGCTGACAGGTGTATAAAATCGAGCACACAGCCATGCGATCTCCATAGACAAAAACTGGCAGTAGAATGGCCTTTTAGAAGAGCTCAGTGAATTTCAACGTGGCACCGTCATAGGATGCCACCTTTCCAACAAGTCAGTTTGTCAAATCTCTGCCCTGCTAGAGCTGCCCCGGGTCAACTGTAAGTGCTGTTATTGTGAAATGGAAACTTCTAGGAGCAACAACGGCTCAGCCGCGAAGTGGTAGGCCACACAAGCTCACAAAACGGGACCGCCGAGAGCTGAAGCGCGTAGAGGGTAAAAATAGTCTGTCCTCGGTTGCAACACTCACTACCGAGTTCCAAACTGCCTCTGGATGCAACGTCAGGACAAGAACTGTTCGTCGGGAGCTTCATTAAATGGATTTCCATGGCCGAGCAGTCGCACACAAGCCTAAGATCACCATGCGCAATGCCAAGCGTCGGCTCCATTGGACAAATCTGGGTTTGGCGGATGCCAGGAAAATGCTACCTGCCCCAATGCATAGAGCCAACTGTAAAGTCTGGTGCAGGAAGAATAATGGTCTGGGGCTGTTTTTCATGGTTCGGGCCCCTTAGTTCCAGTAAAGGGAAATCTTAACGCTACAGCATACAATGACATTCTAGACGATTCTGTGCTTCCAACTTCGTGGCAACTGTTTTTAGCACGACAAAGCCCCCGTGCACAAAGCGAGGTCCATACAGAAATGGTTTGTTGCGTTCGGTGTGGAAGAACTTGACTGGCCTGCATCAAGCCCTGACCTCAACCCCATCGAACACCTTTGGGATGAATTGGAACGCCGACTGCGAGCCAGGACGAATCGCCCAACATCAGTGCCCGACCTCACTAATGCTCTTGTGGCTGAATGGAAGCAAGTCCCCCGCAGCAATGTTCCAACATCTAGTGGAAAGCCTTCCCAGAAGAGTGGAGGCTGTTATAGCAGCAAAGGGGGGGGGGGGGGGGGGGGGACCAACGCCATACTAACGCCCATGATTTTGGAATGAGATGTTCGACGAGCAGGTGTCCACATACTTTTGGTCATGTAGTGAATCTTAGATCACAGGAAAATTATCTTGGGGTCATTAGAATAACAGGTGCGATTGGCAAAAAGTGGCGTGTCTGGCTGAAGTATCCAATGAAAATCGCATCTACAAACATCTGGCCAATACGATGAGAGTGGGCGGGACATCCTCCAGAAAAGGGGAGTGGGGAAACAGAAGAGCCATTGTCCGTTCTTTTGAGTTTTGAAGTTGAGTCTTTGCCTGAGAAAGTGAGGTTAGGATATATAAGTTATCCAGTGCGAGCATATGTGCCGAATACCTTAAGATGTTACAGGTGTCAAACTTATGAGCATGTGGCAGCAGTGGGTAGGAGGGCGATTCCAAGGTGTGAGAAGTGTGCAGAAGGGCATGAGACTAAGGAGTGTGAAGCAGTGGGGAAAGTGGTGGTGTGTGTTAATTGTAGGGGTGGCCATGGGGCTGGGGATCAGACATGTCCAGTGCGAGAGAAGCAGGTTGAGGTTTCCAGGGTAAGAGTAGAGAAGAAGTTGTCATATGCGGAGGCAGTGAAGAAAGTAGAGGAAGATGGGTCAAGGGGGAGGGATCCTGAGAGAAATGGTGTGAGTAGTAGAGATGTACCAGTACAGAGGGATAAACCAAAAAGTGATATATGGTTCAGCAAGATTGGATTTTTAGCGTTTATAGCAATGGTTATTAATGGTACTGCAGGGATGGAACGCAAATCGAAGAAAATTGAGGTTGTGGTGGCAGCTGCAGAGAGAAATTTGGGTGTGCGAGACTTGACATCAGAAGAGTCACAGGGAGTGTTCAGTGGTGGTGTCCCATCATTTCAGGTTGAGGGCATGAGGTAGGAGTGAGTGTATTTAAACAGTGGAGAAGGGTGGGGTTCATTATTAGTTGTAGTGTTGAAGGTGTGAGTGTAATGTTAGATGGTAGGATATTTGTTTGCTTTGGTTTATTTTTCAAGGAAAGGTAAGGAAGTTGAACTCCAGTCTAGTAGGTGGCGGTAATGCAACAAAATGAATGGCAACCGCCGTTAAACCTCATTTAAAAAGAAGAAGATCCTCCAGAAAGCAGTAGAAGCGGTCATTTGGTGTCAGTAGATATAATTATTTGTTTTAGCTTCAGAACTTGTGTGTTTGCCTGGCAAAGTTGCTGGAGTTAATAGTTATAGAGATTATTTTTGCCTATAACGTACAGTTCTGTTATGGAACTGGACAAAATGGACGAGAACGACTGGAAATACCACGGAGAGGGCAACAAAAGCCTAGTGGTTTCTAATGTCCAGGTGAGTTAGCAAACGTTAGGTCTGTAGCAACAATCTTGGTAGCTAACATATGCTACTAGCTAACATTAGCTAACTGGTCAGGTTGTCTGGCGCCGGCCACGTTTGTAAAAGCGGAACAGTGGAAAGTAAAATATTGTTTATTTTACTTGTCACAAGATAGTTTGCCTAGGAGTCATCTGATTATTGTGGTCTTTTTTCCACACAAGTTGCTAGCTAGCAAGCGTCGTAGCTAACGTTAGCTAAACTTAGCTGCCTGTTTTTGGTCCCTTGGAAATCAAACTAGCAATGAATATACGGTAGCAAGCTAGCTAGCTAACTTTAACCTTGCGGAGTTATCACATGGGTTAGAGCAAATAACTCTCACTCCCCCGTATTTATATGTAGGTACCTTTTTAAAAAATGATTCCCCATGCTGATGTGTTTTATTAACCCTCCTCTCCTATCTAGCACGCCAGAGTCCTTCGGCTCCTGAAGTATTCTACAGAAGATGCCGAAAACTCGCATAAGGTTAGAAAATCCTATCCAGCAAAATATGTGTCTCATCAGTTTACTAATTATTTAATAACAATTACAACCATAACCTGTCAGATCATGTTTTGTAACACATTTTTGTTAATCGGCACTTGTGAGAGTCAGGCAAGGCGGGGTAGGGTGACATTGCCCCAGATTCTGATCTTGGGTCCGTTTTGTATTTTCCCCACTAAAGGTTAGGGTTGTGGAAGGGGAAGCTGATCCTAGATCCTTACTTGTGTAAGGGCCTCAAAGGTCCAGTTTAGGTTTAATGGCAGGCTCTGTCGTAGACGGCCGTGACCGGGAGACTCATGGGCGGCGCACAATTGGCCCAGCGTCGTCCAGGGTAGGGGAGGGAATGGCCGGCAGGGATGTAGCTCAGTTGGTAGAGCATGGCGTTTGCAATGCCAGGGTTGTGGGTTCGATTCCCACGGGGGGCCAGTATGAAAAAATAAAATAAAATAATGTATGCACTCACTAACTGTAAGTTGCTCTGGATAAGAGCGTCTGCTAAATGAAAAAAAAAAAGTGACCGCTTGTATCAACCAAGCAAGTGAAGGCACAAACACAAGTATGCATCATGGATAGCTCTGAAAATGAACACTCCAGGGTTGAACACAGAAACCTAATTTCTCTTGATCTGTTTCTTCTCTTCCAGACAACAGAACAAGCTTTCCGACACATACAGAACATAGTTGACTATAGTCTAAATGTCATGAAGCCACTGCTGGGGGAGAAATTTGTCCACGACGGAGTAAGACTTCTTCTGTGCTAATAGCATGGTGCCTTTCCCCCAATATCTTAAATGATTTATGTAGTTATGAGATTAACTGTTTGGTTAAAAGACAGTTCTTTGCCACATGGAACTAATAAAGTAATCAAATACAGTTAAAAGGTTATGGGCAGTTCTTATATTCCCTGATAAATCAATCAATACATTGTTGTTTGTGTAGGAGGCTGTGAAGCTCCCGTTAGACTTTGTCCGACAGCTGTCGTTGAAGGTCCAGCAGGAAAGGCCAGGTACGTGTTGTCTTTTACTTATTGTCAGGGTTTGGCATCTTCAGGGTTTCATGAAATATGACACCACATTTCCACGTGTTGTGGAATATATCAGCAGACTAAGCTGTGGGACGTGTTTGGACTTGTCGTGTGTGTGTGTGGACTTGTCGTGTGTGTGTGTGGACTTGTCGTCTGTGTGTGTGGACTTGTCGTGTGTGTGTGTGTGGACTTGTCGTGTGTGTGTGTGGACTTGTCGTGTGTGTGTGTGTGGACTTGTCGTGTGTGTGTGTGTGGACTTGTCGTGTGTGTGTGTGGACTTGTCGTGTGTGTGTGTGGACTTGTCGTGTGTGTGTGTGTGTGGACTTGTCGTGTGTGTGTGTGTGGACTTGTCGTGTGTGTGTGTGGACTTGTCGTGTGTGTGTGGACTTGTCGTGTGTGTGTGGACTTGTCGTGTGTGTGACCTCTTATACACAATATTAGGCCCAGCCTTTGGAACTTTGGTTTTCCTAGATACGGCTACTATATTGTGATCACTACATCCAATGGATTTGGATACTGCTTTCAAACAAATCTATGCAACATTAGTAAAGATGATTTAATTCCTGTACAGTTTGTAACTACCCTGGTAGGTCGACTGATAACCTGAACCAGGTTGCAGGCACTGGTTACAGTTTGAAGCTTTCTCTTGAGTGGGCAGCTTGATGAAAGCCAGTCAATATTCAAATCAACCAGAAAGTATACCTCTCTATTGATATCACATACATTATTAAGCATTTCACACATGTTATCCAGATACTGACTGTTAGCTCTTGGTGGTCTATAGCAGCTTCCCACCAGAATGGGCTTTAGGTGAGGCAGATGAACCTGTAGCCATATTACTTCAACAGTATTTAACATGAGATCCTCTCTAATCTTTACAGGAATGTGGTTCTGAATATAAACAGCAACACCTCCACCATTGGCATTACTGTCTTGTCTGTAAATGTTATAACCTTGTATTACTACCACTGTATCATCAAAGGTATTATCTAAGTGAGTTTCAGAGATAGTCAGAATATGAATGTCATCTGTTACTGAGCAAGTTATTGATTTCATGAACCTTGTTTCTTAAGCTACATATGTTAACGTGGGCTAGTTTGAGCACTTTTCTTCTGGGATGCTTACTTGTTTTTATGGCTTTACTGGGAAGCTTAGCAGCTGTAGATCTGCTCATGTTCTTTATGTTAGTGCAGGGTGAGCTGCACACAGTGGCCTTCCTCCTCAGGCACACCGGCTCAGTGCTAACAGTATAACTCTGGTTCTTAGGCACATGATTGCTCCATCCAATAGCTGCAGGATCAGCAGAGACATTCAGGGCAGTTAGAGGGACCTTAATTAGGTTACCCACATTGTGTCTGCCAACGCCCCTGATGTAATGTGCATTTGCTGGAGCATTTTGACAACTCTGCGTCACAATGGTAGGGAACAAAATTAGGTTACCCACATTGTGTCTACCGACGTCCCTGGTGTAATGTACATTTGCTGGAGCATTTTGACAACTCTGCGTCACAATGGTAGGGAACAAAATTAGGTTACCCACATTGTGTCTACCGACGTCCCTGGTATAATGTACATTTGCTGGAGCATTTTGACAACTCTGCGTCACAATGGTAGGGATTAGCTGAGCTGGGCTTGGGTCATTGATAAGTCATTGTCACAATGCAGGTTTATAATGCTGTGAAAGGATCCAGGAACCAAAATTATTTGTGTGGACATGTCGTGTGTGTGTGTGTGTGTGTGTGTGGACTTGTCGTGTGTGTGTGGACTTGTCGTCGTGTGTGACCTCTTATACACAATATTAGGCCCAGCCTTTGGAACTTTGGTTTTCCTAGATATGGCTACTATATTGTGATCACTACATCCAATGGATTTGGATACTGCTTTCAAACAAATCTATGCAACATTAGTAAAGATGATTTAATTCCTGTACAGTTTGTAACTACCCTGGTAGGTCGACTGATAACCTGAACCAGGTTGCAGGCACTGGTTACAGTTTGAAGCTTTCTCTTGAGTGGGCAGCTTGATGAAAGCCAGTCAATATTCAAATCACCCAGAAAGTATACCTCTCTATTGATATCACATACATTATTAAGCATTTCACACATGTTATCCAGATACAGACTGTTAGCACTTGGTGGTCTATAGCAGCTTCCCACCAGAATGGGCTTTAGGTGAGGCAGGTGAACCTGTAGCCATATTACTTCAACAGTATTTAACATGAGATCCTCTCTAATCTTTACAGGAATGTGGTTCTGAATATAAACAGCAACACCTCCACCATTGGCATTACTGTCTTGTCTGTAAATGTTATAACCTTGTATTACTACCACTGTATAATCAAAGGTATTATCTAAGTGAGTTTCAGAGATAGTCAGAATATGAATGTCATCTGTTACTGAGCAAGTTATTGATTTCATGAACCTTGTTTCTTAAGCTACATATGTTAACGTGGGCTATTTTGAGCACTTTTCTTCTGGGATGCTTACTTGTTTTTATGGCTTTACTGGGAAGCTTAGCAGCAGTAGATGTGGTCATGTTCTTTATGTTAGTGCAGGGTGAGCTGCACACAGTGGACTTCCTCCTCAGGCACACCGGCTCAGTGCTAACAGTATAAATCCGGTTCTTAGGCACATGATTGCTCCATCCAATAGCTGCAGGATCAGCAGAGACATTCAGGGCAGTTAGAGGGACCTTAATTAGGTTACCCACATTGTGTCTGCCAACGCCCCTGATGTAATGTACATTTGCTGGAGCATTTTGACAACTCTGCGTCACAATGGTAGGGAACAAAATTAGGTTACCCACATTGTGTCTACCGACGTCCCTGGTGTAATGTACATTTGCTGGAGCATTTTGACAACTCTGCGTCACAATGGTAGGGAACTAAATTAGGTTACCCACATTGTGTCTATCGACGTCCCTGGTGTAATGTACATTTGCTGGAGCATTTTGACAACTCTGCGTCACAATGGTAGGGAACTAAATTAGGTTACCCACATTGTGTCTACCGACGTCCCTGGTGTAATGTACATTTGCTGGAGCATTTTGACAACTCTGCGTCACAATGGTAGGGAACTAAATTAGGTTACCCACATTGTGTCTACCGACGTCCCTGGTGTAATGTACATTTGCTGGAGCATTTTGACAACTCTGAGTCACAATGGTAGGGATTAACTGAGCTGGGCTTGGGTCATTGATAAGTCATTGTCACAATGCAGGCTTATAATGCTGTGAAAGGATCCAGGAACCAAAATTATTTGTGTGGACATGTTGTGTGTGTGTGTGGACTTGTCGTGTGTGTGTGTGTGTGGACTTGTCGTGTGTGTGTGTGTGGACTTGTCGTGTGTGTGTGTGTGTGGACTTGTCGTGTGTGTGTGTGTGGACTTGTCGTGTGTGTGTGTGGACTTGTCGTGTGTGTGTGTGTGGAGTTGTCGTGTGTGTGTGTGGACTTGTCGTGTGTGTGTGGACTTGTCGTCTGTGTGTGGACTTGTCGTGTGTGTGTGGACTTGTCGTCGTGTGTGACCTCTTATACACAATATTAGGCCCAGCCTTTGGAACTTTGGTTTTCCTAGATACGGCTACTATATTGTGATCACTACATCCAATGGATTTGGATACTGCTTTCAAACAAATCTATGCAACATTAGTAAAGATGATTTAATTCCTGTACAGTTTGTAACTACCCTGGTAGGTCGACTGATAACCTGAACCAGGTTGCAGGCACTGGTTACAGTTTGAAGCTTTCTCTTGAGTGGGCAGCTTGATGAAAGCCAGTCAATATTCAAATCAACCAGAAAGTATACCTCTCTATTGATATCACATACATTGTTAAGGATTTCACACATGTTATCCAGATACTGACTGTTAGCACTTGGTGGTCTATAGCAGCTTCCCACCAGAATGGGCTTTAGGTGAGGCAGATGAACCTGTAGCCATATTACTTCAACAGTATTTAACATGAGATCCTCTCTAAGCTTTACAGGAATGTGGTTCTGAATATAAACAGCAACACCTCCACCATTGGCATTACTGTCTTGTCTGTAAATGTTATAACCTTGTATTGCTACCACTGTATAATCAAAGGTATTATCTAAGTGAGTTTCAGAGATAGTCAGAATATGAATGTCATCTGTTACTAGCAAGTTATTGATTTCATGAACCTTGTTTCTTAAGCTACATATGTTAACGTGGGCTATATTTTGAGCACTTTTCTTCTGGGATGCTTACTTGTTTTTATGGCTTTACTGGGAAGCTTAGCAGCAGTAGATGTGGTCATGTTCTTTATGTTAGTGCAGGGTGAGCTGCACACAGTGGACTTCCTCCTCAGGCACACCGGCTCAGTGCTAACAGTATAACTCTGGTTCTTAGGCACATGATTACTGCATCCAATAGCTGTAGGATCAGCAGAGACATTCAGGGCAGTTAGAGGGACCTTAATTAGGTTACCCACATTGTGTCTGCCGACGCCCCTGATGTAATGTACATTTGCTGGAGCATTTTGACAACTCTGAGTCACAGTGGTAGGGATTAACTGAGCTGGGCTTGGGTCATTGATAAGTCATTGTCACAATGCAGGCTTATAATGCTGTGAAAGGATCCAGGAACCAAAATTATTTGTGTGGACATGTTGTGTGTGTGTGTGTGTGTGGACTTGTGTGCGTCAAATTAGTCGTGACAGAATGCTATCTATAGGTAATGGCATCTACAGTCTATGTGTCTTGTCAGAACCTAAATGGAACTCAAATGCTTTAGATCTATTTCATAATTATGAGGAAAGGACTGCCTCCTTTATGAATGTATAGTTAAAACCTACACATCGAGGGCCAGTTTCCTAGACACAGATTATCCTAGTCAGGGATTACAGTGGTCCCCTGTAGCTCAGTTGGTAGAGCATGGCGCTTGCAACGCCAGGGTTGTGGGTTCGTTTCCCTCTTGGGGGGGGGGGGCAGTATGAAAATGTATGCACTAACTGTAAGTCGCTCTGGATAAGAGCGTCTGCTAAATGACTAAAATGTAAATGTAAATGGATTAAAAAGCATTCTCAAAGGAGATTCTCTATTGAAAGAGCTTCTTAGTCCAAGGCTAGGCTAACGTGTCTAGGAAAACGGCTGAAATGTCTGTGACTAAATTGTCATGAATGTGTTATAACAACTCCTCTGTCTGTGTGTTCTACGTCATGGCAGAGTCTCGCTGTGATAAAGTGATGGATACGTTTAGTGGATGTGCCTTGTGTCTGCCGAACCTCACCCAGCTCTCCTGCTGCTGCAGCAGAGAACACAGACCTCCTCTCTGTATAGAGATTAAGGTACAGTCTCAGTCCTCTCTGTATAGAGATTAAGGTACAGTCTCAGTCCTCTCTGTATAGAGATTAAGGTACAGTCTCAGTCCTCTCTGTATAGAGATTAAGGTACAGTCTCAGTCCTCTCTGTATAGAGATTAAGGTACAGTCTCAGTCCTCTCTGTATAGAGATTAAGGTACAGTCTCAGTCCTCTCTGTATAGAGATTAAGGTACAGTCTATGGACCCTGGTAAAAAGTAGCACACTATATAGGGAATAGGGTGCCATTTGGGACAGTCTCAGTGGAGCGACAGTTTAGAACAGTAGGAAGCTACTGCTCAGTACAACTGGTTCTCAAATCAATTTACATTCCTGGTTAAACAATTAATTAAATAAACAGATTATATAAACTTGACAGAGTATTTCAATATACAAATACACACAGTCAAAAGACAAATGTGATGAAACTCCTGTATTATAATGAAAAGGTTAGGGCCTGGGTTACTGAATACAGTATTAAGGGAAGGCTGAGTCAGAGATGACATGGGCTTGGACTTCATGGGTTTGGAAGTCACGTGATAAGAAAGGGATACGTGTGGTTAGCTAAAAAGAGGCGTTTGTTGGAATCAGTTCATCAAATCAACTCATCCACAGTGACTCACTTCTGGTCCTATTGTGTTTTTCAGCCCAAATGTGGGTTTCTCCCGTCCTCCAGACACGTTACGAAGGAAATTAAAAGCAAGGTGTGCCGGTTCTGTATGCATCAACATTTTAAGGTGAGTTGACAGTGTTTTGGGAATGACACTGGAATAACCTGTTGTACTACATTAGTTTGATGACCTTGAGGGTTCTTCACTGAGAAATGACGTGTACGTTTAAAAAAAAAAAGACAAGATGGCACATACCCGCTTCTTTTGACTACACCGAAGAATAGACTGGGGCTTAGGAAATCTACCAGGAGCCAGGCATTTGTTGTTGTGAAAGTTGAATGTTATGATCAGTATCTGCCCCCTTCTAAGGCACTGCATCGCAGTGCTGCACTGTGCCACTAGAGATCCTGGTTCGAATCCAGGCTCTGTCGTAGCCGGCCGCGACCGGGAGACCCCATGGGGCGGCGCACAATTGGCCCAGCGTCGTCCAGGGGAGGGGAGGGAATGGCCGGCAGGGATGTAGCTCAGTTGGTAGAGCATGGTGTTTGCAACGCCAGGGTTGTGGGTTCGATTCCCACGGGGGGGCCAGTATGAAAAAAAAAAAAAAAAAATGTATGCACTCACTAACTGTAAGTCGCTCTGGATAAGAGCGTCTGCTAAATGACGTAAATGTAAATGGTGGTGGGACTGGATAACTTCACCTGGTGGGGACTGACGGACTGACTTGTGGTCTTCTCTCTAACGCAACAGTTAGCCAATGGAAAGTGGAAACGGCTGAGCCGGTACTGTCCCTTGGACCTGTTCTCAGGGTAAGTAAGATTTAGAATTCACCCTCCCAGTTATCTTGTGGTACACATGGCGTCTACAACCACGTTCAGAGTAGAGCTTGGTGCTCTTTCATACAACCAGTTTGTATATGATTCCACAGCATGTGAAAAAATATGCATATATACTCAGCCTGAATCTCTCTCTGCTTAGGAACAAACAGAGAATGTGCCTAGCCATCAAGCACTTGATAGAGGAACCTCAAAACAACTTTAAAATCTTCAAGGTATGTATCTCTGCGGTATACTTGTTGCACCACACTGCAACAAAAGTCCTCTCGCTGTATTACGGAATGTTTTGTATTAGTTCACTCTCCAAGAATAACTCTGATGTCCGTCTCTATCCAGGGTGGAGAGTGGATCTACAGCGGTTAGGGTTAAATCTGTCCGTCTCTATCCAGGGTGGATCTACAGCTGTTAGGGTTAAATCTGTCTGTCTCTATCCAGGGTGGATCTACAGCGTTTAGGGTTAAATCTGTCTGTCTCTATCTAGGGTGGAGAGTGGATCTACAGCGTTTAGGGTTAAATCTGTCTGTCTCTATCCAGGGTGGATCTACAGCTGTTAGGGTTAAATCTGTCTGTCTCCATCCAGGGTGGAGGGTGGATCTACAGCGGTTAGGGTTAAATCTGTCTGTCTCTATCCAGGGTGGAGAGTGGATCTACAGCGGTTAGGGTTAAATCTGTCTGTCTCTATCCAGGGTGGATCTACAGCTGTTAGGGTTAAATCTGTCCGTCTCTATCCAGGGTGGATCTACAGCGGTTAGGGTTAAATCTGTCCGTCTCTATCCAGGGTGGATCTACAGCTGTTAGGGTTAAATCTGTCCGTCTCCATCCAGGGTGGATCTACAGCGGTTAGGGTTAAATCTGTCTGTCTCTATCCAGGGTGGATCTACAGCTGTTAGGGTTAAATCTGTCCGTCTCCATCCAGGGTGGATCTACAGCGGTTAGGGTTAAATCTGTCTGTCTCCATCCAGGGTGGATCTACAGCGGTTAGGGTTAAATCTGTCTGTCTCCATCCAGGGTGGATCTACAGCGGTTAGGGTTAAATCTGTCTGTCTCTATCCAGGGTGGATCTACAGCGGTTAGGGTTAAATCTGTCCGTCTCCATCCAGGGTGGATCTACAGCGGTTAGGGTTAAATCTGTCTGTCTCCATCCAGGGTGGATCTACAGCGGTTAGGGTTAAATCTGTCTGTCTCCATCCAGGGTGGAGAGTGGATCTACAGCGGTTAGGGTTAAATCTGTCTGTCTCCATCCAGGGTGGAGAGTGTATCTACAGCTGTAAGGATGATGCAGACGTGTTACAGGACCTAGATGAATTGGCTCAGCATCTACGGCCGTACTTCCTTCCTAGTGGCAGCCTTATCAACGGACACCAGTCCAGTAAGGTTGGTATCCGTGTCTATAGTGTGATTCCCAACTGGCACCCTGTACCCTGTATAATGCACTACCTTTGACCAAAGCCCATAGTCTCCTCTAACTCAACTCTGGACCTCCAAGCCAGTTCCACTGCGCTTTTCTTCCTTGTTCCCCTCTAATCAGGGACTGATTTAGACCTGAGACACCAGGTGGGTGGGCTCGTAGGGTCAGAGTTGACCCCTGGAATAGGGTACCATTTGGGTAGGGGTGTCCCCGACCAAAAATACATCTTGGTCGACCCGAGAGTAGTATTTTCTTCGTTGGTAGAAATTTTGAAACATGTATTTTTCCATAAGTGTCTTTTTAATAAAATCAACTGTATGTACTGAGCTTGTCTGATGCTTTAAGCACATTGTTTGATTTAAATAATTAAGACACACAAATTACTTGAGGGAGCAAGAGATCAAGATAGCTTAACCAAAAAAAGAAAAACAACCTGTTTCTGACCCTCTTCCCCCCCGCTGCTGATTCTGCCGTGACGCTCCTAAAGTTGCCGGTAATAGGTTACACCAGGGGTCGGCAACCTTTTCCGTTTGGAGTGCCAATTTATCCTACCGATCTGCGTGCCAGTTATGATTTTCATATGCACATTTTGGTGGAACAGTCTATCTCAATCATTGTCATGTTAACCTAAATTCGATCTATATCTAAATGAAAATGATACAAATCTAAAAGTAACTTCTATTGCCATGGGAACCAACACTTTACATGTGGCGTTTATATTTTTGTTCAGTGCATGTAAAAATAGCCTACATAAATCCAACAAATAAAAACATTGCAGCCTGCAGGTAGAAAATATCCTAATGATAATGAATATCCTATAAAATCACATTGGCTACGCATGGCCTGTCTGCAACGAACTTGGAAACATTGTATCGACTGTGTCCATCCAGCCCAAAACTTCCAACATTGTATAAAATATTCTGGGTCCTCAGTTTCCTGTGCCAGTGAGCTCTGGACAGACACAGCTGGAGACTATTTGTGCAAGGGATAAGAAGTAATCAAATCAAATGTTATTTGTCACTTTTGCCCGAATACAACAGGTGTAGACCTTACCGTGAAATGCTTACTTTCAAGCCCTTAACCAACAATGCAGCTTTAAGGAAAAGATTTACTAAATATGGCCTTATACAGCTCGTTGAGTGCGGTCTTAGTGCCAGCATCGGTTTGTGGTGGTAAATAGACAGCTAGGAATAATATAGATGAAAACTCTCTTGGTAAATAGTGTGGTCTACAGCTTATCATGAGATACTCTACCTCAGGCGAACAAAACCTAGACTTCCTTAATATTTGTTTTCGCGCACCAGATGTTATTGACAAATAGCCACAGACCACCACCCCTTGTCTTACCAGAGGCAGCTGTTCTGTCTTGCCGATGCATGGAAAAATCAGCCAACTGTATGTCGTTCAGCCACAACTTGGTGAAACATAAGATAGTTAATGTTCCGTTGGTAGGATAGTCTAATATAAGATATTATAGTTAATGTCCCGTTGGGAGGATAGTCTCGAACGGAGCTCATCCAGTTTATTCTCCAATGATTTTACGTTGGCCAATAGGACGGATGGTAGAGGCGGGTTACCCACTCGCCTCTACCATCCGTCATTCTTCATGCGAATGACGGGGGTTTGGGCCTGGTCTGGTATCTGGAGTAAATCCTTCGCGTCCGACTCGTTAAAGAAAAAATGTTTGTCCAGTTCGAAGTGAGTAATCGCTGTTCTGATATCCAGCGCGAATCAGACCGGTGCCTGCGTGTGCCATGAACAAAAATAATCTATTTGTGACTGCTCCACTAAAAAATATGTCTACCTACAGCCTATCGACCAAACAATTAAATGGGATCAGACCTACATTTGGGACACATCCAGTTTCTCTTTCTGTTTTCATCTGCTTTAATGGCCCAGTGCAGCCAGAGGACGAGCCTCCCCTCAGTGCCTGCTTCCTTCTAGGGAGTTTTTCCTGGTCACTGCTTCTGCTTGCTCTTTGGGGTCTAGGCAGGGTTACTGTAAAGCTCTTTGGGGTCTAGGCAGGGTTACTGTAAAGCTCTTTGGCATCTAGGCAGGGTTACTGTAAAGCTCTTTGGGGTCTAGGCAGGGTTACTGTAAAGCTCTTTGGGGTCTAGGCCGGGTTACTGTAAAGCTCTTTGGGGTCTAGGCCGGGTTACTGTAAAGCTCTTTGGGGTCTAGGCAGGGTTACTGTAAAGCTCTTTGGGGTCTAGGCAGGGTTACTGTAAAGCTCTTTGGGGTCTAGGCAGGGTTACTGTAAAGCTCTTTGGGGTCTAGGCCGGGTTACTGTAAAGCTCTTTGGGGTCTAGGCCGGGTTACTGTAAAGCTCTTTGGGGTCTAGGCCGGGTTACTGTAAAGCTCTTTGGGGTCTAGGCAGGGTTACTGTAAAGCTATTTGGGGTCTAGGCCGGGTTACTGTAAAGCTCTTTGGGGTCTAGGCAGGGTTACTGTAAAGCTCTTTGGGGTCTAGGCAGGGTTACTGTAAAGCTCTTTGGGGTCTAGGCCGGGTTACTGTAAAGCTCTTTGGGGTCTAGGCCGGGTTACTGTAAAGCTCTTTGGGGTCTAGGCAGGGTTACTGTAAAGCTCTTTGGGGTCTAGGCCGGGTTACTGTAAAGCTCTTTGACAACTGCTGATATAAAAAGGGGTTCTGACTTAGGGTGTGTCTCAAATGGCACCCTATTCCCTATATAGGGCACTACTTTTGACCAGAGCCCTATGAGCCTGGTCAAAATTAGTGCACTACATAGGGAATAGGGTGCCATTTGAGACAAAGCCTAAATGTCCTGTCCTCCTTTCCTGTAACTCTGTGTTTTAAACCCCAGGTGGTTCTGAACGAGTTGATCCAGGTGATCGTGAGCGCCCTGTTGAGCTCCTGGGAGCCCAGGAAGGCGCAACTGTCTGAGGGCAGAGTGAGGTGTGAGGCCAGCCTCCTACACCGGGACCTGCTACGCAACAGTGAGAGACGGGGAACCTTGGCATGGAGAATTATAAAGGCTCATGCATGCTTATAACAAGTTATAAAGCATTATACCGAATGTATTACCAAAATATACTGAACAAAAAATATAAACGCAACAGGCAACAATGTCAAAGATTTGATTGAGTTATAATTAATAAGGAAATCAGTCAATTTAAATACATTCATTAGGCCCTAATCTATGGATTCCACATGACTGGGAATACAGATATGCACAGATACCTTTTAAAAAAAGTGTTCGTTGTCTGTAGTTTATACCTGCCCATACCATAACCCCACCGCCACCATGGGGCACTCTGTTCACAACGTTGACATCAGCAAACCGCTCGCCCACACGACGCCATACACCTGGTCTGAGGTTGTGAGGCTGGTTGGACGTACTGCCAAATTCTCTAAAACTACATTGGAGGAGGATTATGGTAGAGAAATTAACATTAAATTATCTGGCAACAGCTCTGGTGGACATTCCTGCAGTCAGCATGCCAATTGCATTGTGTTGTGTGACAAAACTGGTGCACCTGTGTAATGATCACGCTGTTTAATCAGCTTGTTGATATGCCACACCTGTCAGGTGGATGGATTATCTTGGCAGAGGAGAAATGCTCACTAACAGAGATATATTAAAACATTTGAGAGAAATAAGCTTTTTGTGTGTATGGACAATGTCTGGGATATTTTATTTCAGCTCATGAAACATGGGACCCAACACTTTACATGTTGCGTTTATATTTTTGTTCAGTGTAGTTTGATGCTTTCATAAGAATAACTAAAGCCAACATGCAAACATACCTTTTAAAGCATTTACATTTTATATATTTTAAATCTTATCAACTTCAAAACATTTTTTTTTGTTCTTCCAGGTCCAGGTAACCACTGCCTACCCAAAGATTGTGTCCTGGACAAAATCCTGGGGACTCAGATGCTGGATAGCTTAGACATCGAGGGGTTAAACCCCCTGTTCAAACGAGTAGAGCAGCATCTACAGGACTTTCCCAAAGAGAGGTGAGAGACACAGTTTCAGTTTTGAATAACTACTAATGTGAAGTCGTTTGCCATGTAATAACCTAGGTATACCACTAGATGGCAGGTGCACACTTCAAGTCAAATCGTAGTCCTTGTAACGTACACTTCTGATTTGATATTACTGGTTGTCTCTCGTTCCAATATTATGGGTATTAATATGGAGTTGGTCCCCCCCTTTGCTGCTATAACAGCCTCCACTCTTCTGGGAAGGCTTTCCACTAGATGTTGGAACATTGCTGCGGGGACTTTACATTTACATTTTAGTCATTTAGCAGATGCTCTTATCCAGAGCGACTTACAGTTAGTGAGTGCATACATTTTTCATACTGGCCCCGTCGTGGGAATCGAACCCACAACCCTGGCGTTGCAAGCGCCACGCTCTACCAACTGAGCTACACAGGGCCTGCCTTGCTTCCATTCAGCCGCAAGAGCATTAGTGAGGTGGGGCACTGATGTTGGGTGATTAGGCCTGGCTCGCAGTCGGCGTTCCAATTCATGCCAAAGGTGTTCGATGGGGTTGAGATCAGGGCTCTGTGCAGGCCAATCAAGTTCTTCCACACCGATCTTGACAAACCATTTCTGTATAGTGGGTGTTGCAACCGAGGACAGACGATTTTTACGCACTTCTGCACTCGGCGGTCCCGTTCTGTGAGCTTGTGTGGCCTATCACTTTGCAGCTGAGCCGTTGTTGCTCCTAGACGTTTCCACTTCACAATAACAGCATTTACAGTTGACCAGGGCAGGTCTAGCAGAGCAGAAAATTTGGCGAACTGACTTGTTGGAAAGGTGGCATCCTATGATGGTGCCACGTTGAAAGTCACTGAGCTCTTCAGTAAGGTCATTCTACTGCCAGTGTTTGTCTATGGAGATTGCATGGCTGTGTGCTCGATTATATACACCTGTCAGCAACGGGTGTGGCTGAAATAGCCGAATCCACTAATTTGAAGGGGTGCCCACATACTGCTGTATATCTAGTATGTATCATTAATTTAACCCCCTGGAGTCGATGTCCGCGGCCCCGCGGAAATCTAATTAGCATAATAAAAAAAATCCCTACAATTTAAGCTAGAGATGTTTTTTTGCATGGGCTGCGTCTCAATCCACCACATCCTGTTATGTCGGCCTTCCGCATCTGAGGTGAAAGGTGGCCGAGCTACAGTGGTGTTTGTCAGACCATGAGACATCCCAAAAACCGACCCGCTCACAAATGTCTGTAGCGTCCGAACGGTTTCTTTTCAGTTTGATAAAATTCAATGAATTTAAGGTTTTATTGAATCTAAATTGATGCATCATATGATACAAAAAAAAATACCGGCTGTACTTCCAAAGTTCTATATCCTAAACTTTATTGCGGATTCGCAAAACATTTTGGGACTGTATCAACAGTGGACTAATGAAACAAATACCTAAATATTAGTTTTTCGGGTGGAACTTTTCTTAAGATTGACTGTCCCTCCTTCCTCCAGAAGCAGTCTCCAGATAGACGGGCCGTACAGCCAGAGCTTCCTGGAGAAGGTCCAGAACTGTCCAACCGAAGACGACGGCTCTGTCGAGTACGCCGTCGGAAAGGTGAATCTCTTCTTTCTAACCGATGTGACATAACCATGCAACTCTGTATGCAAAACCTGCATTATCATAAATATACATTCTGTTGCTTAGGGCTTTAGTGCTTGTTTGTTTCCCCCATTGAAATGCACGGACAGGATGTAGCCTCTGTCTAACAAAGTGGCTTAGGGCTTTTTTTTTTCAAGCTTATTTGTCTAATATGGCTGCTTCCCATCAGGTCCACCAGTACAGAGTTGCCATGACAGCCAAGGACTGCTCTATCATGATCACCATAGCAACCTGCGGGGAGGACGACGGGTGAGGACCTTGTTGAATTCTACCTAGTTGTCCTATTCTTACCCACCATGCCACTTCTGCGCTAAATTCCACTCCTTGTACTGTTAGCACTAACAGACTGGTTCCCAGGCTAACCAGTCACTACTATATGCTGCCAACAGGTTGGACCAGAGCCTGGAGATCCAGCCTACGAAACCTCGCTTCACCTACTCCGTGTCCATCCTAGACTTGGACCCTAAACCCTACGAGAGCATCCCTCACCAGAGCAGACTGGACTCCAAGATAGTCAGCCACTACCTGAGGAGCCCCCTGCCCAACAACCAGGAACTAGCCAATCAGAGCCTCTTCCTGGGCCGGGACAGAGACGGAGAGGACTGTACTCTGGTGTTCCATCCTGTATAACCACTCCCTCTGCTGCTAGGCGTTCCGCTGGTTGTTACCAACACCCTCCCTCCACTAACCCATCCTACTACCCCCAGACCGAACGCTGCTGTGGGACTGATGGAGCAAAGATTGAATTAACTGAAACATATCCTTTTGTCTTTTTTTTTTTTTTAGCTTAAAAAACTAAAAGATATGCCATATTATATAACCTGAATTTAGGGAACGGTGGGCTGAGATGAAGAGGGGTGTTTTAAAGGCGTTGATTATGGATGTGTCCCTAATGGCACCCTATTCCCTATTGAGGGCCCTGGTCAAAAGTAGTGCACTATATAGGGAACAGGGTGCCATTTGGGAAGCGGCCTTTGTGGTGGCACATATGACCCTGGGGGCTGGTCTTCGGAAGCTTGTGCCAGGAAGTGACGTCTCAACGGTGTGAGGCTCTTGAGAGAACCAGGCATGCATCAAGTCTTTCCTTGGATCCCCTGATTTCTGGCCTACTCTCCCCCAGCCTCAGTCCTCTCTCTCCCCCAGCCTCCGTCTTCTCTCTCCCCCAGTCTCTCTCCCCCAGCCTCCGTCCTCTCTCTCCCCCAGCCTCCGTCCTCTCTCTCCCCCAGCCTCCGTCCTCTCTCTCCCCCAGCCTCCGTCTTCTCTCTCCCCCAGCCTCCGTCTTCTCTCCCCCCCAGCCTCCGTCTTCTCTCCCCCCCAGCCTCCGTCTTCTCTCTCCCCCATCCTCTCTCTTCTCTCTCCCCCAGCCTCCCGTCATCTCACTCCCCCAGCCTCTCTCTTCTCTCTCCCCCAGCCTCCCGTCATCTCTCCCCCAGCCTCCGTCTCAACACGTCAGAGGCAAGGGAGGAGGAGAGCATTGGAGAAGATTCAACATAATAATAATATTAATAATATGCCATTTAGCAGACGCTTTTATCCAAAGCGACTTACAGTCATGCGTGCATACATTTTTTTTTGTGTATGGGTGGTCCCATCCTAGGAACTTCTTCCCCAATGCTCTCCTCCTCATGGCCCTCTGACAAGGAAGCGAGGAGAGGTCGTGGGACTAAAGTTCTGCTGCTACCTACAGCAGGCTAACGGCTAACGGCTAACAGAACCAGGGCTGGTCGTGGGACTAAAGTACTGCTGCTACCTACAGCAGGCTAACGGCTAACAGAACCAGGGCTGGTCGTGGGACTAAAGTTCTGCTGCTACCTACAGCAGGCTAACGGCTAACAGAACCAGGGCTGGTCGTGTTTTCATTCACATGCCAAAAGTTACTTGTGGTGTTACAGCACATTGCCTTTCAGAAGTGGTTGGTGTGTTATGGCTGGAGGTCGGAACAAAAACTGTTCCCTATGTAGCCCGCAGGGCTCTGGTCAAAAGTGGTGCACTATATAGGGAATAGGCCATTTCACTCTACTCCAGTGAGGGGCTAGTCTCTAAAGGGTCTCTACTCCAGTGAGGGGCTAGTCTCTAAAGGGTCTCTACTCCAGTGAGGGGCTAGTATCTGAAGGGTCTCTACTCCAGTGAGAGTGGCCGCAACTTAAAATGTCTGACTTGAATATCTGTCGTGTTGGGACTTGCCTGAAGAAATGAAGATGCTTTTATTTATGAGGTTTCAGAGAGAAATACTCGTCCTGTTGCATGAAATGGGGTTTTTCCACTTAATCACGTTGTGCTTTTCAAGCCTCTCCTCGGGGGGACCCCCGGAGTTGACTGGAGGGGGGTGTGTTAGCTCTGGAATAGTTCAGACACATGGAACGGCTGGGGGTCCCAGAGGGGAGGTTTGAGAACGCCTGGGGGTCCCTGAGGAGAGGTTGGAGAACGGCTGGGGGTCCCAGAGGGGAGGTTGGAGAACGGCTGGGGGTCCCTGAGGAGAGGTTGGAGAACGGCTGGGGGGTCCCTGAGGAGAGGTTGGAGAACGGCTGGGGGTCCCCGAGAAGAGGTTTGGGAATGGCTGGGGGTCCCCGAGGGGAGGTTAGGGAACGGCTGGGGGTCCCTGAGGAGAGGTTAGGGAACGGCTGGGGGTCCTGAGGAGAGGTTTGGGAACGGCTGGGGGTCCCTGAGGAGAGGTTTGGGAACGGCTGGGGGTCCCCGAGGAGAGGTTAGGGAACGGCTGGGGGTCCCCGAGGGGAGGTTTGAGAACGGCTGGGGGTCCCTGAGGAGAGGTTGGGGAACGGCTGGGGGTCCCAGAGGGGAGGTTGGAGAACGGCTGGGGGTCCCTGAGGAGAGGTTGGGGAACGGCTGGGGGTCCCAGAGGGGAGGTTGGAGAACGGCTGGGGGTCCCTGAGGAGAGGTTGGAGAACGGCTGGGGGTCCCAGAGGAGAGGTTTGGGAACGGCTGGGGGTCCCTGAGGAGAGGTTGGAGAACGGCTGGGGGTCCCTGAGGAGAGGTTGGAGAACGGCTGGGGGTCCCCGAGAAGAGGTTTGGGAATGGCTGGGGGTCCCCGAGGGGAGGTTAGGGAACGGCTGGGGGTCCCTGAGGAGAGGTTAGGGAACGGCTGGGGGTCCCTGAGGAGAGGTTTGGGAACGGCTGGGGGTCCCTGAGGAGAGGTTTGGGAACGGCTGGGGGTCCCCGAGGAGAGGTTAGGGAACGGCTGGGGGTCCCCGAGGGGAGGTTTGAGAACGGCTGGGGGTCCCTGAGGAGAGGTTTGGGAACGGCTGGGGGTCCCTGAGGAGAGGTTGGAGAACGGCTGGGGGTCCCTGAGGAGAGGTTTGGGAACGGCTGGGGGTCCCTGAGGAGAGGTTGGGGAACGGCTGGGGGTCCCCGAGGAGAGGTTGGGGAACGGCTGGGGGTCCCCGAGGGGAGGTTTGGGAACGGCTGGGGGTCCCTGAGGAGAGGTTTGGGAACGGCTGGGGGTCCCCGAGGAGAGGTTAGGGAACGGCTGGGGGTCCCCGAGGGGAGGTTTGAGAACGGCTGGGGGTCCCTGAGGAGAGGTTTGGGAACGGCTGGGGGTCCCTGAGGAGAGGTTGGAGAACGGCTGGGGGGTCCCTGAGGAGAGGTTTGGGAACGGCTGGGGGTCCCTGAGGAGAGGTTGGGGAACGGCTGGGGGTCCCCGAGGAGAGGTTGGGGAACGGCTGGGGGTCCCCGAGGGTAGGTTTGGGAACGGCTGGGGGTCCCCGAGGAGAGGTTTGGGAACGGCTGGGGGTCCCTGAGGAGAGGTTGGAGAACGGCTGGGGGTCCCTGAGGAGAGGTTGGAGAACGGCTGGGGGTCCCTGAGGAGAGGTTGGAGAACGGCTGGGGGTCCCTGAGGAGAGGTTTGGGAACGGCTGGGGGTCCCTGAGGAGAGGTTGGGGAACGGCTGGGGGTCCCTGAGGAGAGGTTGGGGAACGGCTGGGGGTCCCCGAGGGGAGGTTTGGGAACGGCTGGGGGTCCCCGAGGAGAGGTTTGGGAACGGCTGGGGTTCCCCGAGGAGAGGTTTGGGAACGGCTGGGGGTCCCCGAGGAGAGGTTGGAGAACGGCTGGGGGTCCCTGAGGAGAGGTTGGGGAACGGCTGGGGGTCCCCGAGGAGAGGTTGGGGAACGGCTGGGGGTCCCCGAGGAGAGGTTTGGGAACGGCTGGGGGTCCCCGAGGAGAGGTTTGGGAACGGCTGGGGGTCCCCGAGGAGAGGTTTGGGAACGGCTGGGGGTCCCCGAGGAGAGGTTTGGGAACGGCTGGGGGTCCCTGAGGAGAGGTTTGGGAACGGCTGGGGGGTCCCTGAGGAGAGGTTTGGGAACGGCTGGGGGTCCCTGAGGAGAGGTTTGGGAACGGCTGGGGGTCCCTGAGGAGAGGTTTGGGAACGGCTGGGGGTCCCTGAGGAGAGGTTTGGGAACGGCTGGGGGTCCCCGAGGAGAGGTTTGGGAACGGCTGGGGGTCCCCGAGGAGAGGTTTGGGAACGGCTGGGGGTCCCTGAGGAGAGGTTTGGGAAAGGCTGGGGGTCCCTGAGGAGAGGTTTGGGAACGGCTGGGGGTCCCCGAGGAGAGGTTTAAAAAACCCTGTTGTAGGAGCAGACAGGTGGCACAGCGCTGCATAAC